GGGAGTCTTGATTGGAGCTGCAGCTCCCCCTCTGAGCAACATAAGGACCTGATCCTGGGAGCCTAAAAGGTACCAAGGAGAAAGAGAAAGGAGAAATTGACGTTCTCACATATAAAATTATCTGCTCTTTTCAAGTCTTTCTTGGTAAGCAGAAGCTAGGTTCGGTTTCTCTTCAGCCTGCCCTCCTTGGTATGTGCTTTTGCAGCCAGATGGACAAAAATACCGCATCCCAGCCAAAGGGAGGGAATGTAGCTTTTGGAAAGTGCTGTTAAAAAGCTCTGACTTGATTGAATAGTGTTATTCTGAAAATAGACGTGAATAGGACAATTCACAGACCGTGGCCACAACACATGAACCCCCTCGTGCTGTAACTAGGACCAACTCCCAGGTAGCACTAAAAGCTGGGCAGGCCTCAAACAGTCGTGCTCCTGCCAAACGCTCCCAAGAATCCAACAACCTTCCTCCTGAGCTCGGGAGCTGGGGCAGCGCCGCCGTGTCGGCTGGTGGGGATGGAATGGACTCACACCTCTTCCAGGAGCAGCAGATCATGGTCGTGCTCATGATGGAAGAGCAAAGGCTGAGGATTATAAGGTCACACAATGTATATACACCTCAGCCTCTTGTTCACTCTGACAAGCCAGACTTCTTCTCCCCACCACCTTCACCTACAAAAGCACTATTTTATATCTACCGTGTTGATGGATGATTATTTTCTTGAAAAGCCTCTCTGTGGGATGTAGGGAAGGTGTTTATCAGCGAAGAAACTGCACTCATCTCAACACAAAAATGACTCGCTTCTCCTTAAAAACCTAATTATATTTTTTTCCCAAAACACTTTTTGCAGAGACCTAAAACTGGACAACGTGATGCTCGATAAGGAAGGCCACATCAAAATAGCCGATTTTGGAATGTGTAAAGAAAACGTGGTTGGTGAGAACAAGGCGAGCACTTTCTGTGGGACCCCAGACTACATTGCCCCCGAGGTCAGTATCTGGCTGCGGGGACGGGCTCAACGCACCCAGGGTACCACGGCCCCTGGGAGTAATCATCTCTTTCTAGACTAATAGTTCAGAAATGTAAATAGTAATAGCTAAAAGTCTAATTAGCACAGAAAAAAAAAAGCATTAAATATGAGTTCTCTGTAGAAAGTACTTGAGACTTTTAAGTATTCTATAGCTGCCAGGTTAAAAAAAAAACCATGGATATTTAAAGTTAATGGAGAAAATTTCTGAATGAGAGCAAAGGCCTGTCCCCATTTCCACCAGCAGCAGCCAAAGATAAAACTACAGCTGCGCATCAGTGTCAACAATTTGTCAAATACCTGGTTCCCCTTCCCCCCCAAATATCCTAGTTATTAAAGGTTCTCTCTTAAAATCCCTCCTCTGATTTTTGGTATATTTTGCTGCCTTTTACTAATTACTTGTATTTCTTCCCCTGCACTTCTGTGGAACAAGATCCTGCAAGGTTTGAGGTACACGTTCTCAGTGGACTGGTGGTCGTTTGGGGTCCTGCTGTACGAGATGCTTATTGGACAGTCCCCTTTCCACGGGGACGATGAAGACGAACTGTTTGAGTCAATCCGAGTGGACACCCCTCACTACCCGCGCTGGATCACCAAGGAATCAAAAGATATCTTAGAAAAGGTAGGGCTGATGATCAGCAACTCACAGTACTGGATATGTTCAGGGAGGGACAAATCTAGGCTTTTAAAAGGAGCTGGTCAACACAAAGATAATTCCTTTTACAAATGGAAAGTCAGGGCAGATTAATTACTAATGGTCTGTTTACTGTGAGCAACTTTGGTTCTTTTAGCAGTACACCCATTATTCTCCCAGTGCCACCTACCTTTTGAGCAGAGTTAAGACTTTACTGGGTCATCTTCTCTTGCAGCTGTTTGAAAGGGATCCAACAAGACGACTGGGGGTCACTGGGAACATCAGAGACCACCCTTTCTTCAAAACCATCAACTGGACGGCGCTAGAGAAGAGGGAGGTGGACCCTCCTTTCAAGCCAAAAGTGGTGCGTGAGTTATTCCTTGTTCTGCAGCAGCCACGGGGTGATTTCTGTCACCTGCTCAAACCATCCCACTGCAGGTGTCCCCTCACAATTTATAAATGAGATAGTTACGTATCTCACACCCCATTTTCTTGGATGGTTTAGTGTTAAAAAGGTGCACTGTATTTCTCAGATTGCCCTGAAATTTTCAGGGAAATCAAGTAACAGTTCTGATAGCCATTCTTCTTCAGTCTCTAGATAATTGGAAAAATATGTTTTACATGTCTCGATGGTGGAAATGTTGATAGTTTCTCGAGTTCTTCTCTTCTGTAATGCCATGTGGGCGGAGGACCTATAACTTGGGGCTACCCAAGTTTAATTCTTAAAAATTAAGTATTCTTAATTAAAAATTCTTTCTCAAAAAAAGAATACTTCCTTCCTACCCTGCAGGAATTCTCTACAGGCATTAAATAAGTGCTGTTCCAAACCCACCCGAGAGTGTCCAAGTGGGCAAAAAGATGTATTCTCTGTACTGTTTGTGCCTAATGTTACCTGAAAAAACCATCTAAAGAACAGTCAGTGCGTTACTCTCAGTCTGTAGCACCAGGGGATGATGCTGCTGCTTCGTTTCACCTAGTTAATAAATCCCAACTGGTTTTCCTCCACCCTGTTACTGGTACAATGGTGGGGAGGTATCACAGTCTCTTTAACGCGTACTCACGCACTGGATGGAGGGGAGCTCTCCCAGTTGAGATCAGAGGCTTAATGTTGCATTTTCCCTTAGGAATGGGAACTCTGGAAACAAAAGGGTCCTACAAACAAGTAGCCTCTGGAGGTTCAGGGTATAAAACATAGTTTTTAGTTTTACAAAACATGCAGAGATTTTCTATCCACACACAAAGCAGCTGCAATAGGGCATCCTTTTTTTTTTTTTTCTCTGAACAAGTATAGATTGTAAAATGCCTTCAGGAATTTAAAACTTCTTGGTTAATGGCAAGAAACGCTGGGCTTAAATGTAAACGCTGCACTGATATTGTCCATAGAGATTTTGTCCATAAAATCACCATTTGGGTGATTTTATGAAACGTTACCACAAACCCCAGTGGTTCTTCTCTGAATTGATCTGGTGCTATTTGTTTTTAACTAACAATAAGCAATTGCCTGGTTATAATCTTACCGCGTTGTTAAAACAGGCAAAAAAGGAGATTTTTCTCTAAAGGGGAGGAGGGAGGGAGGGAGCTCAAGAAATAACTTTCTGAGCTTTTGTATTTAAGCACTTTGTTGTGGAAGAAACACCAAAGCTGGTCTCACACTGTCTTCCCTCTCTGTTCAACGCAGAAATCAGCGAGTGACTACAACAACTTTGACAGAGAATTCCTGAGCGAGAAGCCAAAACTGTCCTACAGCGACAAAAACCTGATCGAGTCCATGGATCAGTCTGCATTTGATGGATTTTCTTTTATTAACCCTAAATTTGAACAGATCTTAGAAAAGTAAATTCTCCTGAAGAGAATGGGACTTTAAAGCAGCGTTAAATGTTATAAACCAGAAACTCCCAAGTGCTACGTGTTGTGTGTCCAAGGATGTTGTCGATACTTCGGAATAATACACAATAGTGTGATTAATTGTGTCCAACTGCTGATTCACGGGCAGTGGTTTTATGCATGGTTGGGTTTAAGGTATGTGAATCATGTGCATTATTTTCTCTATTTGGGAAAATGTAAATTCTGTTTGGTACTTGAATATAGTTATATATATATATATGCTGTATATTTTGCTCGAGAGAAGACATTGGGAAACAGAAGATGTCTTTTTAAAAAGTGTTTGAGCCCTTGGTTCTTTTATTTGTCTTCAATTAAATGAAAGTTACATTAAACTTTCATTCATGGCTTTGTGATTATTTTTTTTTTTCTAGAATGTACAATTGAACTCCAGTAAAAACAATAGTTTGTAAGCCCTTTGCACTTACCTGCTTTTCTCTGGAGAAACAGCCAGTCCTACAGCTCAGGTACCTCCTCACCAAACTGCTGTGCCCGAGGGCCACCCGGGTGGGGGTTCACTCAAGCATCGTGGTCCGGGCCATCCTCGTGCTGTGGGGAGATGAAACTATTAAATAATTTTGTCCAAAAATCAGCCTAAAAGCTCTAGACCAAAAGCAAAATTACCTCCCCCATAAACATAAATACACAGTGGAGTTAAAGCCAAAGAAACCACTCCTGCCACCTGGCAGAGGAGACACGAGTGGCTACTGCCCAACAGCAGACAGTCATCAACAAGTCATGAACAATTCAATACACAATTATAAACTACAAAGCAGTAATTAATTTTGTCCTTATCCTTCAGAATGACAAGTATCCCTGCAAATTTAATAAGAATCATAGAATCATCTAGGTTGGAAGGGACCTTAAAGATCATCTAGTCCAACCATCAAACTCTCACAAAAAAATAAATAAGAAATAGGAAATAAAAATGACTAAACCATATTCCTGAGGACTGTGTCTACCCGTCTTTTGAACACCTCCAGGGATGGTGCCTCAACCACTTCCCTGGGCAGCCTATTCCAATGCTGGATAACCCTTTCGGTGAAGAAAGAAGCCATCTACCTAACCTATACGTGCAGATCTGTAGTAGAAGGCAGTGTTTTGCTGTTGGTTTTCAGCTTTCTCCAAAAATGACCAGCATTTGGAAGACACTGCAAGGACAGCGCAGCTTTGAGAAGAATCAGATCTTAAAACATCAATGAGCAGGTAAAAATTGGTAAAGTCTTACCTTTCTCCTCTGTTGTGTGCAAATCTTGAGTTGTATTATTCAACAGCTTCTTCCAACATCCTCCTCAGGTACCAAGTTTGTTACTATAATTATTTGTCAGAGCAAAGCAATTGATGGGAGTAAAGTACTTAATTCTTATGCCTGTGTCTAAGCCCTCTCTTAACCAAGTGACAATTCCTGAGCCGCAGGAACACTCACCTGTGGGGGGCACAGAAAGAACCACACAGCAGCCCACGCCGCAGCATTTCATCTTTATTTCTGGGATCAAAGGATTACATTTGTCTGAAGGATTGCGAGGGAGGCCGAGGGTGTCAGAAAGGACAGTTTAATCCCGTTGGAGAGACTGCACCTGAGCGAGCGAGCGCATTAACAGTCAGGAGGCAGTAAGATACACAGGGGTGCAAACACAGAAGGTGAGGACGCTGTCGGTGACGGCTCGGTCAGGGGCAGGGGACGAGCACAGCTTTTAGACAGTGACCACAACCCCCAATTCCCACCAGAATTCCCTCTCCAGAAGGTGGTTGGTGACACCCCGGGGAGAGCCCATCGCTCCCTTCAGATCTACATTCCTTGCCTACGCTCGCTAGAAAGGGTGGGATGCAGTCAGTGATTTAGTACCTTCCTAAAGTAGAACAGACAACTTCATTATTTTATTTTCTCTTTTTTTTTAAACTCTTCAAGTATCAGCGTAACAGTTTATTTACACTTGTTTACAAGTCTTTTTACTGAACACCCAACTTAGTAAAACACTCATCACAGTATATTCAAAAGCAGGCTATAAAAATACCTACTATACATAAAACATTTAGCCTCAAGGAATTTTACAGCACCTCTGAAAGTCGGGAGAGGTAAGACACAGGGAGGGAAGGAGGGAGGGGAGACACCTCAAGCTGTGCAGCCAGTGAAGAGCGATAGCTCTCGCCAGGGGAAACCTTTCCTTCCACCACGTTTCTTCAGCTGGGTCCGAGCTGAAGGACGACCAGAGTCTGCCGGTAAAACCCTGATTTTCTAACACAGTCTCCTGGGATTTGGCCTCTGTAACCACAGACAAACTCTTGACTTTCTCAGTTTAAGAGCTGTTTAACAGCCCCTGGTCACGGCTGGGCCGGCAGAGGAGCCAGGGCTGCCAGGAGCACAGCCCAGCTTCCCCACGCTGACCACACAGCGCGTCGGGAGGGGAAATTACCTCTACAGTTTTGCCACGAAGGCGGCCTCGTTAACTGCACATCAATAAATTAACTTCTCTTGAGCAGCGCTGCCCCGTCTCCCTCCTCACACAGTATCTACGGACACAGCTGGATTAATCAAGAGGTGAAGTGGGCGTTAAGGAACACATGGATCACACACACGAAGCTTTAGGCAGCAGCGCTTGAAGCAAGTGTTTCTGGTGGTTCCGTACCCTACGCCTTCCTCCTCCCACCCGGAACCCAGCCAGACGGTATGGCTTACTCCCAGAGCTGAATATATTGCTGGAATTAGCTTATTGAAACAAATCACAACAGCAGCATGTTATTTTATAAACCCTGCACAAACAAAAGACAATTTAGCCCTTGCCGGTGAAACTACGTTACAAGGGCCTGGTGTTTTCACACAGGAATTGAGAAAAAAGAAAAAAAACAACACCCCAAACAACAAAACAAAAAAAAGCCCCAACGACATTACATGGTAAAAGCTCAGTTAATTGAACAGAAGTCCTTAGAAAAAACAACAGTCCAACTACCAAAGGATAGTTCTCCTTTCAGAACTCGGAGCCAGCAGCGGCGCCAGAGCTCGCTTCGGCTGTCTGGGAACACACGTACAAAATACACCTTGACTGAGTACAGGTAAGAGGCCCTGGCCTCAACAGACACAGAAAATTCCATTTTTAGCACTGGAGTTTCCCAAGGTATAAAAGAAGAACTGGGACAGTGGAAGGTGCTTAAGAACAACACGAAAAAAGCCAAGGCAGGCGGTGCCACGTTAAAAATAAATTTCAGAGTTTACCTGGTGTTTTTCTCGCATGAGCTGTTAGAAGGGTTACATTCCACCTAACCTTTCTGTGCTGCCTCCTCATGTACATATTAAATGTGACTATAAGAGAGAAACATATACTTTTATGTTGAAATTCATTCAAAAAATTGCCTAAAAAATTTTTTTTAAAAATCACTGCACTAATAAGAGAAGCAGTTTCTCCAGCCCTTGACAGTCAGAATCCTTTTCCCCTCCAGTCTCAGAAAAGCTGCTCATCCCCTCCGGTAACTGCAGCAGAAGGGACAACTCTCTGGATCCATTCCTGCTACCTGTGCTCACACTCACCTCCCCACTTTACACTGTGTCTTCCACTGCCCTCCAAAATACAGCTGGCCCCTGGAAAAATGTTAAAATCTTGCTAAAACAGCTGAATCTTTCAGGTAGCAAATCCAGCTTTAATGCTTTAATTTTTTTAAGGGGAAACTCTCTCCATTTCAGAAAAAATTAAGTTGTGGTTGGCAAACCAAAGCTCATTTTAAAACCCAGGAAAGCTATCAGAGCCGACAGGCTTTCCCATTTAAAGTAGTTTTGCAACATGAAGCCTCCAGTGCTCAAAATGCAGAATTTCACCTATGTTAAATACGCCATCAAAAAAATCTCCATGTAATCCTAGACAATCATTCACAGTAAAAATAACAGGAACTCTTAGAAAAACACTTAAAAAAAGAAAGTAAAATCTAGTTAAAATCTGACAGTAAAACTGACACGGGCAATTAACCATCTTTGCAGTATCCACAGATGAACAATAAAAACCACCGAAACTGCACAAATTTACATACGAAAAAAAAAATAAAAAAATCTAAAAACCAACTCTACTCTGCTTCCCATAAATCTTTTTCACCGATACCTTCCGGCACTGGGGGTTATCCAGAACTACAGGTTTATCTCCAAAGAAGCTGAATCACATTCGAAATGTCTTAAAGTGAAGGGGAGGCGCGTTGGTTCCCGCTCGCTCGGCGACACCTTCTGGGTTCTCGGGGAGCTCACGAGCCGCGGTGGCGAAGCTCTTGGGCTGGAGGCCGGGCTGCTGCCCCGGGGAGGGGAGCTAGAGGTGGTTGGGTACCGTCCTCAAAGCTTCTTCTCTTGACCGATCCACACCTACATTCTGCAAAGTTGAAGACAAAGAAGAGACTTTAAAGCAAGGGTCTCGTGGTCAGACGTAGTTTTGCCTACACGCGGCTATTGCACGAGGCAAAAGATGAGCAAGTCTTAATGCTTATTTTCTCAAAATGTTTTGTAAAACATATGGAAAGGTTCCAGCCCATGAGCAGAAGTCAGACACCAGGCTTAGACCTTGTCCCAGCCACGACACGCTTTGCAGAGCCCAAGTCCCTCGGATACCTAAAGTCTGAGGTCTGGTAGGACAGTCAGCCTTTGTACACCATGTGCAGGTCACAAAGTTATGTTTTCTAAGACTTTTTTTTCCTTTAACCACCGTTTTTAACCACATTTTTCTAAGCCACTACCTCTTCCAGTCTTTATGCAGTTGGTATAAAAACCAGAACCACACAGCGAAGGTCACAAACCACACAAGAACCGATAAAGCCCATCTCTCCTTGTTTGGAGCACACTCCAGGAAATGACTCCTTAACGCCAATTAAGGAGTAAAGCCAATTCCCATCCTGTCTGTGAGCAGCTGGAGTCAGGAAGGAATCGGAGTAACTCCCTAAAGAGCTGGTAACATAAAAGTTTAAAAGCTCTTTGGGACACATGGGCACGCTGGCAGATGTCACGCTGATGTCAGATCATGTTTCAGTGGTTTTATAACCACATTTATTAGAGTTTACTTTCAAAACAAGTCTCTTCAGTCCAAGCCAAGGAAGAGGAGAGCCCCACCAGCAAGGGGGACACACACCCACAACTCCACCAGTCAAAACACCAGTCATTCCCCTCCCCAATCCCATTTTCTAGGACTTTTAGCCATTTCTATGAAAACAGGAGACAAACAGGCAGCACCAGATTCGATTTGGGGGTTGGAATGAACTGGCATCACTTGCCTTTGCCAATTCTCCTACGTTAACGTCAGCCCTTTCTGTTCTCATCAGCCTTCAGAGCCCTTGGGCAGATCACCCTGGTTTCCACCACAAACACACCCACCACACCAAGGTTTCTGAGAAGACACACAAGAATCCTGCTGGGCAGCCTCATCCAAGCCCTGGCACTCTCTGCACCCACCAGCACACTGACCCACCCCTCTCTGACTTCTCCCTTTCTAGAGAAAAAAAGCAACAGTCCTATTTCAGAAAAAAAAAAAAGGCAAGCTTCTACAGGTGGCATCTCTTCTGCGGCAAAGAAAACTGAGAAACTTCACCATCTGCCCTAAAACCATGAGCACTTGGCAAAACAAGTCACACTCTACATAATAGCAAGGGAAAACACCAAAACAAAACCAAACAAAAACCTAAAATACGGTGGCATTTATTTCATTTATCTGTATTTTTCTTAGCAACTGATGCAACATACTCAGAAGTTCCTTGGGGCTGTGGATGTCTCCACAGGCACTTCAAGAATATTGGGTAACATCTTTTAAGTGGAGCATCTACTGTTGATTCAAAGAAGATGAAACGGAGCATCAATACGCAGGAATCCAGAAGTGCCAGAAATTAGTCCACAAGCAGCAAGAACTAGAGAGGTATAACATGAAACTAAAAGGAAACAAGGTGGTGAAGACAAGGCAGAAGATCCACCTTATTTAAGGCAGTGAGAAGGATCAGATGAAAGCAGCATCTTAGCAACTGAGACAGATCCAAAAGGGAATATCAACACACAAAGTGGAAAGCGAGGAATCTCTCTGAGTAAATGCAAAGGGGAAAAGGCTGTAGAAGCTACTGAAGAAAACTCCCTCTGGGATAAGCCCCAATAATCACACCCCAGGGCTTACTGGGCAGACAGAATTCCTAGGTGCAAGACCAGATGAACTGAGGCTTAGAAAGGGACTAAAACCCTCATTAATGGTAAATGGATTCCTCCTCACAGGAATTAGATTAGATTCCAGCAGCTGGGATCGCACCCACTGCCAGAACAGCCATGGAGAGGGAAAAGCCGTGCCATGAGAGCAGCGCTGCTTCTTAGAAAGACAACCGAGGTTTTATCTTTACTTTTGGGACCAAGAGGTGTCCCTGGAACTGCTGAGCAGTGCCTTGAGCACACCTGGACAAAAGCACCACCTTGGGGAGTGTGCCACTGCCAGGCACTAGCGGGAACACGGCCTGGAGAGCCTGGAAAACACACACCTTTTGAAAATGCTATTTCTACCGAGGCAGAGGGGCTCTCCCTGGGCCAGCCTGGGCAGGGGCTGCCTGGCTCTGGAGCCCACTCCCCGAGGAGGCCGGGTGCTCCCCAGGGCAGGAGAGGGCTCACCAGGTTAACTCAGACACACTCTCGTACCACGGTTCCTCCTCTCCTCGTAATACCAACCCCTGCTTCTTCCATTTTTTTTTTTCCCTGACAGAACTGAGCCTCCCCCAGAAAAAAAAAAAAAAAGTGCTTTTGACTAGGACAGAGTCTGCCATTTCAGTTTTGATTAGCTACAGGGCATCGTCACAGAAAAGCAGGAAGGTTTTGCAGGGAAGGGGGCTCTGAAGGGCACAGGAGCCATGAAGACAACCGGAGCAGATGCGGTTAATCAGGGCCCTGCACAGCTGAACAGCCAGCACAGGCCTAGAGAGAGGAATAAAAAGCACAATATGCACAATCTACTACTCTCATCAGCCAGCTTTCCCTCCCCGAGCTGTGCCACAAACTGTCACTGCTGCTTCCCACCCACCATCAGGCCTTTCTTAAACTGAGAAAATAGCCCAGAGAGAACCATTAAGCAATCCTGCTGTAACAGGAGCCCCCTTGGAGTGCAAAACTGTGTTTAAACATCCACGTCACTCAGTTGCACACATCAGCACAACCAGCATCACGCTCAGCAAGAGACCACCACGCAGGCTCAGCCCCAGGAACCGGGGCTGGCAGTGGGGATGGGGGGTCCCCAGGCACCGCTGCTGCTGCTTCCCCGAGCAGCCAAGTCCAGCTTTCCCTTCCAGCCAAGTCCCTGCCCCTTCCATCTTCCCCCTCTGTCTCCTCCGACAGCCCAAGCCACCCTTTTTCAAGCAGCAAAACTCAAGTTTTTCCACCACAGACGCCTGCGCAGATTTTGGCTCCATCAAAAACGTTAACACGTTTAGTATAAATTTGCACCGTGTTTCCTTAGTGGTGGCCCACGGAGGTGACAGTGCTGAAGCCATCTCAGCACGGTGTCTCGGTGCCTCCTTACAACCAGTGTCCCTGTGACCTCTCAGGGATGTCACCTCAACTGCCAGGTAACAGCAACTGGACTCACTAATTAATGTACGCGAGTGGGTACGGCAGGCTCAGATCTCCTCCTCTGTGGCATTTTTCACAGCAAAGCACATGCCAAGAGGTTGGGGCCATTAAACACGGAAAAATGACAAAACATTCCCACATCACGGTCACCACAGAGAGAAGAAAATAATCCGGGTTTCCCCAGTCTCAGCCCATCCTGGGACATGGGTTTAACTAAATACCAAGTGGGAGACTCTCTGGCCAGGAGGTTATTTGGTTCTATCAGACATTCCCCATTGCTATAAACCTTTGAAAACTTCTGTGGAATTTTAGAAGTGCAGATATATAACCCTTTTTTTCCCAAATCCCTGTTTTGGGAAATTTATTACTTGAGAAACCTAGCGGGTAAAAGCTTCCCACAACACGTCACTCTTGCTTACAGAAAACACTTGCAGGATTCCATGATTTTCTGCCTTTCCCAGGCTTGATGCTGCCTAAAACAAATGGCACAGATGCTCTGCCCACTGTAACAGGGCAGGGAAAGGAGCCCAGGCCTGGCACCGCCACTCAGATGAGCTGCATCTTCTCCAGCCTGGGAAAGGGTTTGCTGTGATTCCATTTAGGACGCGGATGCTGCCGGTTTGAGATCCCCAAAGCCTCCTGGAGGGAGGAAAAGCCTCCCGTTTCCATCCCTTTCAAGGCACGTCACAACCCAGCTACACACTCCTCAGGCTGCCTCTGCTTCCACAACCTGAAATGGCCAGCGCTGCTCACTGCAGCCTCGATAAAATCTGGGTACAAAACACAGGGAGCAGAGCTATGAACGCTCCATCACCCACGTCCGGATGAGAAGCAGGAAAAGAGGAAATCTAAAATCACTCCTGCCAGCAGGCGAACCCTAAAGCCTAGTTAATGCAGAACAGCTGTTAAGAGAAGTCATATATTAAAAACATTTATACACATTCCTGTACTTTGAATAATTGCTGTGGAGCTAAGTGAAAACTTGCTACCCTCTTCAAACAGCACATCATTAATTAGCACATCTAAAGCACTAGTGCTATGGATCAGTGGGATTAAGGTTTTACAGTAACTATGGGTTGTTATTTTATGCTACTTAGCAGTCCAATCACTCCCAAGGGCACTGAAATAGATAATACTGGTGCCTAGAAAACAAACTTCAACTTTTTCTTATCTCACACAGGATGTTGCGTTTCACGGCTTTCACAAACACACTGCAACTAACATTAACTGATTGCTGGCTGTTACAATAAAACTTAATGCTGCAGGATCTTTAAATAATAGCAATTTACAAAAACAGCATTCCAGTGACAGCCGATCAATGTTTGATAACTCATCCACAGTAAATTAACCAGTATAATACAGTTTTATTGTGATTTGATAATTATTTTTCAAGTCATGCGCTGTACAAACATTAGGTTTGGATTTTGAGTTGTTGGGTTTGGGTGGGGCTTTTTTATTTCAAAGTGATTGGAATGATTAGTTTTTCAATTTATTTTGAAGTAGTAGGATGAAAACAGCACCCCAAGTTCGATAGTTGGTCAGCACACGGGATTCACTGATGAGCAGGGACTGTTACAAGAGCGTCCTCGGGAGGTCTGGAAATGTCTACATTCTGTATAATAATAAAAATACAGAGGAGAATATTTATCATGCAGCAGTAAGAGCAATAAAAATACCCATCAGATTCCTTCACAAGTACACGGCTGCATTCATTTAAAAGCAGAGATTTATATTTTTCACCCCCCCCCACCCCGAGAATGCAGCAGATTGACAGCTGGTTGATGTCCCAGAACTAGACAGTGGGGAAAAAGTATTTACAATAATCACCGATCCCACGCTGATAATATTCCCAAAAGCTCAAGTCACTCATGTTCAGGAGGAAGCCTTTTACAGGCCCAAGCAGGAATCCACTTAAACACATGCTTCAGCACATACACATCTATCCATTAAGCAACTTTCAGTGCTCTGCTGAACTATGCCATAGACTTCTTTCCCAAGGGAAGACATTAACATCCGTTTGTGTTACAGGCAACGTACTACACCCGACTAAATAGGAAAAATCTCTTCCCAGACACCTTAACCATTCATACTACACCCAACTAAATAGGAAAAAAATCTCTTCCCAGACACCTTAACCATTCAAGAGTGATCACGCCAACTAGATCTCACCTCATTTTGCACAGGCTGTAGAAGGAAAAAACCAAACCAAACCAAAAAGCCAGGACACGGAATGCAGCAAGTTATTCCAAAGCAAACCAACCAGGACGATGGGCACAGCCAGAGAGTGGGGCCACAGGCAGCAGAGCCGTGAGCGCAGCCGTGCAGAGCCAGGCTCGGGGATGACTCCTGCCACCTACCACCTCACGCAAGCCCCAAATCTGTGCAATTCACACCCTCCCTTCTACCAAGAAAGCAGACTACGATAAACCCTTCCAAAGTTCCTTCCAAGATCTCGAGCTAAGATTTGGCCCACTTTAGGCCAAATCATTGCCCGTTCTTCAAACTTCATGCTGACGGGCTTCACGAGTCTCACTTGTTTTACACCATGGCAAACAAACACAGTTTTCAGTAACACTTCTCTCCCCCCTTCCCCCCAGAAAATCAAAAAGGAGATCTGGGTTTCTTGCTACAAGCACTGCCGTGATCTGTCACTCACTGAGACAGAGGTGGCAAAGCAGATGTTTTACCCCAGTGCTTGTTTTCTGACCCAAAGAGGGGACCCAAGCACCAGCCCTAGTAATTCTCCTGAATTATTTTCAGTAAAAAGACTAGACTCCTTCATTTGAAAAGGTCAGGAGCTTAAGCCACTACAAGGCTGACAAACACAAGGCTTTCGATCCACTTCAGCCAAATCATCATCACACAATGAAGTTTACACAGGCTATAAACAGATACTCCAGTGCTCTGCCCCTGCTTCTGCAACAGGAAAATAGCTGCTTTCAGCTGAAGCCAAAAGGCTTTGGGTGCCCTGCTCTGAAACATGGACCACACGTTACTCGTGGGGGCCCAGAACAGCACACTGGGCAATTCTTCATCAAATACTTTCATTGTTTAATCATGTTGTTAGCTGCGATGCTGTATTTAATTAACTGCTCTGAACTTCAATAGAGCACTTCAAAATTTAATTTCACAGAAGTAATTAACATTTTTGTAGGGGATGTAAATGAAAGCTTTTGAAATTTCCATCGTCCTCCAAGCAGCATTTAAATGCAGACAGGATCAGCTTAGTCCTTCGTTCAGCGCTACTAAACGAAGAGCGTGTCACCACCCATATTTCACTGGTCTGGGTTTCTTCAGGGGCAGAAGGAGAAGAGTGGCCGGTTGTTGGGGTTTTTTTCTAAACAAAAATGTCTCTGCTCCTTTTTTTCCCCTTTTTAAAAATTCATTAACTCAGTTTAATTCTGTTCTAAACAAACAGCTTTGTGTCATTGTGCCCACTGCAATGCAACCATCTGCACGATTTTTGGCACAGAATCTAGTTGGAGGTCCGTAACAAGTGGTGTTCCCCCCAGGGTCAATACTAGGTCCAGTCCTCTTCAATATATTCATCAGTGACCTGGATGAAGGGATGGAACGTTCGTTGATGACACACAACTGGGAGGGGTGGCTGACACACCAGAAGGCTGTGCCAACATACAGAGAGACCTGGACAGGCTGGAGAGCTGGGCAGAGAGGAACCTGATGAAATTCAACAAGGGCAAGTGTAGGGTGCTGCACCTGGGGAGGGATAACCCCCTGTACCAGGACAGGTTGGGGGCTGATCTGCTGGAGAGCAGCTTTGTGGAAAAACACCTGGGAGTCCTGGTGGACAACAGGATGCCCGTGAGCCAGCAATGTGCCCTTGTGGCCAAGAAGGCCAATGGCATCCTGGGGTGCATCAAGACGAGCGTGGCCAGCAGGTCGAGAGAGGTCATCCTCCCCCTCTGTTCTGCCCTGAGGTCCCATCTGGAGCACTGTGTCCAATTCTGGGCTCCCCAGTTCAAGAAGGACAGGGAACTGCTGGAGAGGGTACAGCAGAGGACAACAAAGATGGCCAGTGGACTAGAACATCTCTTATGAGGAAATGCTGAGGGACTTGGGTCTTTTTAGTCTGGAGAAGACTGAGGGGGGAGATCTGATCAATGCTTGTAAGTACTTAAAGGGTGGGTGCCAAGAGGACGGGGCCAGTCTTCTTTCAGTGGTGCCCAGTGACAGGACAAGAGGAAGTGAAATGAGCACACACTTGTACAGAAGAAGTTCCATCTAAACACGAGGAGGAACTTCTTTACTTTAAGGGTGGCAGAGCCCTGGAACAGGCTGTCCAGAGAGGTGGAGAATTCTCTGTTTCTGGAGGTATTTAAAACCTGCCTGGACATGTTCCTGTGCAACCTGCTCTAGGTGGACCTGCTTTGGCAGGGGGGTTGGACTAGATGATCTCCAGAGGTCCCCTTCCAACCCCGTATCATTCTGTGGTTCTGTGATCCTCGACATGCACCTGAAATGCAACCGCCCAACACCAATGTCAGTATGGCCACATCACTGCTAGACATGTTAACAGTCACTTGGTGATTCAGGCAGAGCTTTTCCCCTCGAAATAAACATCTTCAGTCAGAGAAGTGGTGTTTCCAACAGCAATTCTCAAGACACTTCAGCAAGCTGTAAACTCAGCACCAATACTCCCAACAGCCAAACTAAAGATGTTCAGTTGATCTACATTATTTAACACGGATAACCTAGCACCTTTAGGTTCACCATGCTTCTCCAACGCCTTTTTTTTTTTTAAGCACTGTAAAAACAGAATGGATTTCTTAAATCTAACAAACCAAACTAAAACACAAAAGTGGTAAAGCAGAACAACAAAGGAGAAAGGAGAAGAGAGGGGAAACACACAACACAACTAATAGAAAACGTCTTGGCTCTGAATGACCAGAAATCGGTATTTTCAGAGCTCGCAACACCCAAGTCACTAAAACAAAACTTCTTTGCAGAACCCTGCAGCATGAACCCTGCACAACTGCCACAAACACGTACCCTCATACAAGCAAGGCCTTATTGAACACACACATAAAACCACATGTATCACTATATTCCCTTTCACCATAAACCACTGCTCTGAAAACCCTTTTTTCTCCCGTTATCAAACTGACTTTTAATTCCCCAGTAGGGGTGGCTCATAACCTCAGCAAGGAATCCGTGCCGTACCCAGTAGCATTAGCATGAGGATCTGCAAGGGGACCAGAAATTTTTAATCATAACACATTTTAGGTAACTTTCATAATGCAGCAAAGGAAGAGCTTTGCGTGAGCAGCAGAACCGACCTCCAGTCTTAGCAGCACACAGAACAGTGGCCTGACACAGGGAGGGCACGAAGCTACCGTGGTCTGATGTCTTATCTCCACTTATATTTTACAAATACACTCAATTTCCTTTTCCCCAGCTGTTCTGCTGTATGCTGAGATCTAGTCTTCCTCTCCAGCTTTGGCTTAAAACACAGGCATCATTATCAACTCCTCTTTTTCGTAGAGCAGCAATGTCAGTGATGAAAAAGCTCGTGATTTAATTATTTACTCTCTCCAAAATAAGTGTGGGATTCATAACGACGTACTTTTTGACTACACGCTACTTCTGCTGAACAACCATGGGATTCATAACAACGTACTTTTGACTACACGCTACTTCTGCTGAACAACAAAGCCTGAAGAACTTTATACAGCTTTTAGATTGATACCATATCTTCAAGTTCTTATTCATTTTTTGAAGATAAACTATTCAGCCAGAGCTTGTATGCAAGATAAGTTTGCTCAATAAAAAGGATTTCCCTCCTCCCCGCAATAGCAAACCAGCAGTAAAGCTTGATACATAAAATTCAATACACTCAGCTGAGTTTTCAAATCATTTCTAACCACAAGGGCCATAGAAATCAGCTCAGCAAGTTCTGGCAAGTTCGCAGAATTATGGCAAGTTCTCTGATTTGAAGAATATTCTTACCTCGGGTTTATCCCTGTGTGTGTTTACGGCTTCAACATTCAGGAATATAGATTCTACTTTACATCCTGTTGAGAGAAAACACATTTTTAGAATTGGCCTGTTTTAAAAATGAAGTTATAGTAGAGATGCAATCTAATTTTGAGTTGGTGAAGGTTAATCACTTCCCCCGCCTGATTTATACTAGCTTCCCAAATTGTGAATAGCTAAAGCTATTGGAATTAACTTATTCCACCAAGATGAACATTATTCTCCATCTGATAACCCATCTCCTATTCTGACCTGAGCTTTATCACTATTTTCACACACATGAACATCAACATTCAGTCTGAAGTTTCTTATTTACATCTTTTTGCTTTTTGAAACAAATTCCTATTTATAAACACACATGAACATCAACATTCATTCTGAAGTTTCTTATTTACATCTTTTTGCTTTTTTAAACACCCTAGAGTTCTTAGAATTTCAGTGTAATACAAAAGATAAATGCTGCTCTCCTTTTTTAAAACACAGAAATGATTATGAGAAGGTACTCTGCATGTTGCTGGAAACCACGTTCCTCTATGCACAAAAACCAGAGTTTTAACCCCCAGCTAAACAGAGCTTTAAAATGGACTTCTGAAAAGGAAATTCCCCTTTTCCCCCAAAAATAGAAAACTCATGGGAAGCAAGGAAAAATTAAACAGTCAGAAGAGACAATGATTACTCAGGTAGTATAACCTGACCCACTTAGAGAATTATAATTACTCAATGCACTGTGGCCACACCATTTTAAGCAATATCCTATTGCCAAACACTGTCACATCTCACATGAACATGACTTTTATAAGCTACCACTAGCCTACACGACATTCATTTAAAGCCAAATTCTTCTGACATACCACAGAGTCCATCTTCTATCACAAAAAGGTTTCAGAATTTTCTGCTTACTTGTTTCCTAAAATTGTAACACATTCCATAGAAGTACTACACAACAGAGAAAGGAGATTGTAGCCTCTTCTTAGAAAGCCAGTGCACTTGAAAAAAGTTAATATAAATTATATTAACATTTGCCTTCCCTTAGGGAAGCCTGTTCTGAGAAACACCATTTGTCATGAGTACTGTGAGTGAACACTGCAGGGGGGGCAGCACTCAGGGAAAAGGTGAACAAAAAAAAGCAATTTTAAGACGGAAAAGTGCAGGTCTCCCACTGAATAGTGGCCTAGTCATCCTTCTGTTCACAGACCCACTGCGACCCCTGACACCAAGCAAAGCAAGCTCTGATCCCCAAATGCTGGCCATGGCTAAGGACTGGTTACCCAGCAAACAGGCTTCCACAGAGACCTCTACCACTAGCTGAATTTAAGACCTGATAAAAACATATCATGTGGAAAGCTTTAAATATAAACTAAAGGGACATGAGTTACTCCACAGTAATTACAATGTGGATATCCTCAATTCATTTTTAATTACCGATGTGCGAGTTCATGCCTACAACAGGATGCAGCTTCTTTCCTGTGCACTCCCACACAGACCACCACTATCCTGGACTGTGGGGTAAAAGTCTAATTTATCCCAATCCTACTGTCAGGCCATAACAGATGTTCCCCTACTAGAGATCAGCCATGCAGGCTGGAAAAAACGCTAGCTTCAAACGCCAGGAAGAGCAAACCCCTAAGGGAGGTGTTACCCCAGAACAGGATTAGCTGGAAGATATTAAACACACCATGTTTGATCCTGCATCCTGTCTCACTGGAGCCAAGTGGTGATATCAACTTGAAATAATGCTATAGAATATCACTATATAAATAGTTTACACAGCCCTTGCATTTTCAGATGGTCAAATTCTAAGAAGTAGGTTGACTGAGATGTGCTAATCAGACATATGTATCAAGCACTTTATAAAAAAGAACCACAGCATTTCTTTCCCTGAAGTCAAAAGGCCAAGGACAGTATTTCATACTCTTTCTTTTCCTTCCTCATTTAGTGGGTGAGTAAACACTGCAAACATCCAGGCTCTCTTAAAATTTACAAACAGTCACCCAACTTCCCAGTAAAAAAACCCACCCTGAAACAAAAACCTCTGTGGAAACAGGCTGAGACCGGCCAGTCAAGAGAATCCAGTTTCTAAAAACTGAGCCTTTAAAACCCCAGTTTTAGTTGCTCTAACTTCAAACTCTCCATTTTCGGAACTGCAGCCTGTCATGCCAGGCTGGGAACACCAGATGTCACCAAAGCACAGACGGTTATCACTGACTGGAGCACACACCGCAATTAAACCATGAAAGCCTCTTCAGACGGAAGAGGTCCCAGTCTAACAGCCTGTTACTTTCTCTCAACTGTATTTGAAACTTGGACAAAAATCAAAGTAAAGGCCTAGACTACTATTTTTCAAAGCTTTGCATTTCTGATTAATAACTCGACTAGCATTTTTTGTCAATCCACTTCCTGTTAAGATGTACCGATAGTTCCCTTTGTCTATAAATAATCTTTTGAAGTGTGACGAGATATCAGAAGATATAATTAAGCCATCACTTAAAGAAAATTATCAGCAAGCACATGTTAAGATGAGGTTGAAACACACACAAAACTTAATTAGCAATTAGCCTAAAACCTAAGAAGTACATGTTGCAACCTGCACCCCACGCTACAAGCCTGCGGCAAATCTCAGTGATAGCCCCTGAGCTAAGCACTGGAAACAGCTCCTGACAAATGAGGGAAGTTCACGTGGTAGCGTGAAGGTCCACAAACAAATACTTCATGAAAAGAAAACAAAATTATTTAAGGGTAAAGAGAACACCCTTTGTAAAACGATAAACCTACATAAATGTAAATTTGCCTGTTTCTAAAAAGCAATACTGTCAAATAAATCAATCAATAAAACCTGACATCTTACTGTACCAGACGTGTAAATGGCACATGTTTGCCAGAAGAATTAAATGAAATAGCATATGAAGTGAGTACAAGAGAAATTTGTCCACTAGTATTTAGAGCCACTGGTAGTTCCAGGCTTTCACTAATACATATATGTTGTCCGGCACAAGGCAAAGCAAATGTAAACCAAAAGATTCATTGATTCTAACATAGCAAAATAAATTTAAAATGTGTTTTAACTGAAATGCTTCACAAATTTTAGTGATGACACAGATGTAAGTAACAGTATGGTTACTTATAAATTATATATACTTCATACTACTTACCATAAGCCACCGGGGTTAGCTTTAAGACAGTATGCAGCGGGCACTTCAGGTAAGGCAGTTGCTCTGAGAAAGCAAACAAATCACATATGACATACAAAAGATTACAAAAGCATTCAACTTTTCCATCACGTTACAGGTCAACCACTCAGAAGTCTCTTTTTATCTGACAGTGTATCTGTTTTCTTCCCTAGCATTGTTATTCAAACAGCCGCAGAAAAAACAAACTTTTCAGCCTTTCAGGTGAGAAACAGCTCAATAAAAACCACAAAGTAACACATATGTAGGTCAAATACAAAAAGAAATTACACTTGTGAACTTGCCTAGCACAGCCACCCTCTGATGGTAAAGGAAATGGCTGGAATCTGCTCTTTAGAACTTTAATCAGTAAATTTTCAAAAAAATAGTCCATTTGTAATATAGGAAGGAAAACTCACCTGCAGGCTTGTCAAGAAAATACGCGAGCAAACAGCGCATGACAGCTTGGTGACATATGACAAGCACATTTTCCTGCCTTTCAAGTTCCATAATTACTGGCTCCAGTCTCTGAACAAGATCTTCATAAGACTGCGTGGGGAGGCAGGAGAAATACACAGCACATTAAAAAGGGAAAACTCTTTGAACACTGTATGTATATAAAGTGGATTTTACTTTTTGTATTAGCCATCTTCTAAATGTTACATTAGCACACAGACAAATACTGTAGTAATAATTTTCCTTAAATTAAGAACACAGTCCAGGTCTTCCAGACTACCAAGAGCATACATATAACAAGATACATCTCCCTCATGGAAAAAATTTATTAAAGTAGTCACTATGATCAAGAATTTCCACAAAATGCCTAGAATTTAATTCACAGCATCTGCAAATGCACAGGTTAAGTCTTGCACGTTATTTTCCATATCTCATCTTCAAAAGCATCTCTCTTCCACGCAAAAATCTGGGAAGCCCAGCCTGAAGTCAGCCTACAAACAGTTCACAAAGCCTGACTTGTTCAGGCTGCCCTTTAAAAACAAACCACAGGCTTGATGAACCGGCCTGGTGATGGCAGCCACCATCCCACCAGAAGTCACAAAGCAAGGACTTCTCTTGGATTTCTCTTGCCCCCTCATCCTGCACGGCACAAGCACAGCGACTCTGCTGCTTCAGGTAACCAGCAAGATCTCTATGTGTTAATTTAATTTTCATACGCACAGTAAAAGACAGTACTTCCAACATGTCACATATTGTACGTGTGGAGAACACAGCACATCACCCAGCAGGGCAAGGCATGACCACAGAAAAAGCCTTTGCCCTGGTCCCAATGAGAGTTGCCCAGTTGGCAAGTGGCACTAGTGATTCAGGCCTTGGCAAGACCTTTGGACCTGGGGGTGTTGGTCGACTGTCAGCTGAACAGGAGCCAGCAGTGTGCCCAGGTGGCCAAGAAGGCCAATGGTATCCTGGCCTGTATCAGAAACAGCGTGGGGAGTAGGACCCGAGAGGTGATCGTCCCCCTGTGCTCAGCACTGGTGAGGCCTCACCTTGAGTAGAGTCCAGTTTTGGGCCCCTTACCACAAAAAGGCATTGAGGTGCTGGAGCAGGTCCAGAGAAGGGCAACGGAGCTGCTGAGGGGTCTGGAGAGTAAGTCTTATGAGGAGAGGCTGAGGGAGCTGGGGTTGTTCAGTCTGAAGAAGAGGAGGCTGAGGGGAGACCTTAACGTGCTCTATAACTACCTGAAGTGGGGTGTAGAGAGGTGGGGGTCGGTCTCGTCTCCCAAGTCACAGGAGATAGGACAAGGGGAAATGGCCTCAAGTTGCACCCAGGGAGGTTTAGATTGGATATTAGGAAACATTTATTCACAGAAAGGGTTATCCAGCATTGGAATAGGCTGCCCAGGGAAGTGGTTGAGGGACCATCCCTGGAGGTGTTCAAAAGAAGGGGTTGACATGGTCCTCAAGAACATGGTTTAGTATTTGGGGTTTTTTTATTGCTTATTTCTTATTTATTTTTTTGTCAGAGCTAAGTTGATGGTTGGACTAGATGATCTTTAAGGTCCCTTCCAACCTAGACGATCCTATGATTCTAAGAGGAACCCAGGGGTCTCCAGCGAGGCTGTGCAAAGCCCTGCCACCCGTTACCAGCACTACCAGCAACAAAGAAACTGCCTTTGACAAACAACCGAGATCAACTCATCACCCCAAGGCGATGAGGGAGTTGGAAATGTTTGTCACCGTCCTCGAGGATGGCATCAGTTTGAAAAACAAACACCCCTTGTTCAAATGGATTAGGAGAACTTTGCAGCTTAATGACTGCCTCATTAGCGAGACAGGGGTCACAGCAGCCAGAACACTGCTCTTATCACAAGCTGCCCTTAGCACAGTGATTACTCCTGACTGCTGAGGAGAAGACCTCAGAGCTCTGCTCCCTCCTGACACAAACAGCCGAGCAGCTGGGCCAATTACCCCGCTGCCCCAATCCTCTGCCTTCAGCGCCCACGGACAGGCCGGGTGACCATCTGGTAATTGCTGAGCTGTAATGGGTTTGCCTTAGAAAAGCTGTCAGCAAGCTATTTTCCCAAAGGCAAGGAGTTTATTAAAGGGAAAGCCCAGTGTGGCTACAGATTTGCCTCGCATTTCAGGCAGAACCACATGCAAAACAGCCATTATCTGCGGCAGGGATGAATTGAAGAAGGCAATCTTGGCAGTGCGTTTGCATATGCAATAGCGTGGAGCCTCAACCCTTCCTCCTGCTTTATCGCTGCAGGACCAGCACAGAAACGATGCCCACAAGATCAAAGCCCTCAATTGTTTTTCTAAATCTATCATTTTATTTTTCAAGTCCTGAACCAAATTAAATGGTCTGGGCTCTATCCCTGAAGGCTCCTATGTACTTTTCCTTGGAGAAAGGAACAATCTTTTCTTTTTTTTTTTTTTTCCCTTCCTAAAGCCAGCACACATGTATTCAAGACAAGGAATCCCTTCACCTTAAGAGAGAAAAAACAGCCTACCTCTCCTTTAGGGTATCTGTATCTGTACTTGTCTTGGTCTCTCAGTGCAAATTCCAGCGGATAATTTTCCTGTATTTCTTCATATGTCATTTCTTCACACACTCCCTGTAGGTAATAAAAATAATTAACAAGCATGTCTTTCCAGCAGTGCAAAAATCAGGTATCACTCTTAAATAAACCTATATTTAAATAAACCCATATATAAATAACCTTTAACAACCGTGTTTTGTTACTCTGACACTTAAAGACAAGATTGTCCCGCACAATGAACAGTGCTCAGCTGCACTGGGAGGCGGGTAGAAGGAATCATTAAGTCCCTACTCAAGTGAAGTTACACATAAGGGCAAGCAAGGTCACTGAGCAAGGTCACATTTCATCTATTGGACCTGCTTATATATCTTACAGGAGCAGTTGGAAAGTGCCAACTAGCAATGCTATTTTTTCTTTCCAGCTCCCACCTACAAAAATTTCATAGCATCATGGCTTCTGCAGCGGAATGTTTTACTGGGAAAGACAAATCAAGACTAAATTAATTACGGCAATTTTTAATGAAACGTTTAGCCTTGTTAAAAGACATTCTTTCCAGCCTCTGGAACCAGCTTAAATTAATTTCTGTCCCATAAAAGGCGTATCATTACAAAATTACATACTTCCTTCATCCCCAGCAAACAAAGCAACTTATTAGATATTTAGAAAAGAAGAACTTACTGCATCTATCTCATTCAAAACCTTCCACTGCTCGTAAGGCACTCCCAAGGCTTCAGCAGTCTGAATTGTCCTTTTCATCTGGCTAGTCCAAACTTTCAGGTCTTTGATATTCTGCTCATTAATAAACTGTGCCAAGCTTTTGGCAAACTGAAAGAAAAACCATGAGACACTGGATGAGGGCCCAGAGCCAACACACCGCGTTCGGTTTGGAACACACAGGCTCCAGCCTCTGTAAACTCATTATAACTTTTCCAAAAGGCTCTGTCAAAGTTTTTGCTGAGAAACACAACACATGCCATTAAACCGAGAGGGACAAGGAAGGGAAGGAAAGGAAAGGAGTACAAAGAAGAGGCAAGTTTTCTGCAGTTCCCAGCTTTACCTCCAGGAATTTTCCTTTCAGCTTTAACTTGTGAACCTCCCCAATTACCCAATAAGTCAGGATTTTACTAAAATACAGTTAAAAAAATAAAGCCCCCCGACAACTGCTTTGTGCTGTAGCATAAAAAGGAATTTCAACCCACAGAATGACAGGGAAAAAAGCACGTACCAAACCACAACACACACAGTGTGTCCATCCAGTTTCCACTACCCACACATGCAACTAAAAAACCCCTTCTTAAACATGCGAAGAGGAAAAGGGCATAGAGGAAGAAAGCTGTAATTACAACAGCACAAATTGCAGACGTGCATAGATATACACAAAACTCATTCCCACTTGCTCAGGAGGTACGTACTTCTTTCCCCCTGACAGACAGCCCAGGATCTCCTCCTATTCTCCCTTTCAGATTGAGTTCACTTTCTCCATGTCGACAGAGGTAGATTGACCGAGGAGTTACATGGATATTCATGAGGTAGTAGACAATCCGGCTCTGGATGTGATCCATTACTCTGTTCACAAGGTAACTCCTTCCGACATCCATAATTTTAATATAAGAAAGATCCCTTTCACAAGCAAACAAACAAAAAAAAACATATGTAAGATTCCACATAGTTTCTATTAGCATGTCCCACAATCTTCCCAGTCTCTCTCATATTACGAAACGAAAGGGCAACAAACCAAAGCAATAAACAAACCCTCAATTGCCCATGGAATATGCCCAAATCCTAGGAAAGAATGCAATACTCCAAAGGTACAGGATGAACCCTATCCATTTCAAATGTAAGCTGCTCAACATCACTTTCTTCTCTCTTCCTTTTACTTGCACTTTGTCCCTCAAATCCAGATCCTACTCCTGCAAAACTACAGCCCTCCCACTGAAAGAAGGATTCAGTGGAGTCATTTAACTGCAGTTAATAAGGTATCCAGGTATTTTATGATACTGGATGTTTTTCTCCAGGTTACAAACACTTCTCCCACAGCAAGTATTTGTCTGATTGCATCCAGGGGCCAAAGGGCACAATGATTACTTTCCCATCTCCGTTAACCCTTCTAGAAAAACTGCAATATCAGAAGAGCCTGGGACTAGCCTGAAGCAAGACATTTTCTCAACGACTCTATCAAGAACTATTTATTAACAGTACTGTAATTTACCCCACCACTACCTTCTCTCAGCATCGGACAGGTTATAATTTCAATTTTCACTGCTTATCGTTTCTCCTCTCAGCTATGATTTCAGAGCAGCATCTAGTTTAAAGGAGGAAAAGTCTAATAAGCTGAAAATAACCACTATCTAGCGATGCATTTGAGTCATCATACCACAAGAAACCAAGAACATTTATAATAAAACCAGATGGAGGTGACGAGAAACAAGCATCATCACCTCATCTCTGATAGCGTTCCTTGAAGTTAATCATTACTATTTCACCCAGGGACAACCATTAGGCCCATCAGAAAAATTACACGCATGAACTGATTTGACTGAACCAGCTTCACGCTGCTCACACTCAATTACATTAAAATGCAGCTCAGCCTTCTCTGTAACACTGGTCCTGAAACAAGGCAGGAGCACCCTGTCTGACTGCAGCTCTAAATCCCACACTGAAATCCTGGACCGTAGCAAGAGAAACAGGGCTCCTCTCCGCATGGTTCATCCCTACCTTACTTTCAAGAGTTGGCAGTGAATGCAAAACAGACAAATGTTTTGTCATGAGAGCAATTAATCTGGCTTTTAAAGTTCCTTAGAGCCCTGCATCTGCAGGATAATTTGCAAGCACAAGTAAATAAATTTAGAAGTCACATCTTTAAGACTGATGCGTTGAAAATTCATCTTCACCATGTCAACAAATGAAGTTATGCTTACAAATCACTGTGGTCTCCTCCACATACTAAAAAAACCAAAAAAACAAACAACAAACAACTGCTACAGCAAGTCTGGAATAATTTCTAAATGCTGGTTCTATCCCAGAAGAATCATACCAATCTCCAAGAGGGAAAATAAAAAAGAATAGTGTCCTAGAGTATACTCATTAGCCAGTTTTCCTCAAACAAGCAAGTTTCTGGGCTACACTCCCAGAGTCAACTCTTTCTAATTTGCCAAAGGAAAGAGAGCTAAAACCATTTTAAAAAAGCACAACTAGAAAGCCTTAATCCCCAATACAGGATGCTCCATCCCCTAACAAACATCTTAAAATAACCCAGTTGCAATCATAGTATTATCACTTACTTGTCAAGAGTTTCATCTAATGTCTCATACGAGTTCTTGTAGCACTCTATTCTTTTCATAAAATCTTCTGTTGCTTCATCATTACTACAATCAACATAGTCAGGACTACCCAGCTTCACTTGCTGTTTGAAATAAAAATAGGAGAGTAGTACATAAGCTTCTTTTCCCTTTTAACAGAAGTTTAAAGAAACAGGAAGGGGGAGAACACAACACAAAAATGTATTTTCTGTAAGTGAATTAAAATACATGTAAAACAAAAAGAGCTATTCTTCATAGAATTAAACTTCTGAGCTGGTGTACATATGGACAGGAAAATAAAGTGTTCCATTAAGGGAAGCTAGGTTTTTTGCTATTGGATGTTGTTGTAATGTACTTCTAAAAATACTGAGATGCTTCAAGAATACTGAGTTACTTCAAACCTTGACTTAAAGCAGTTAAAGCAAAACCTTCCTGTACTCACCACAATGTTTGCAGCAATGACCTCTGGATCCACACATACTGACTCAACAAAGAAAGTCTTCAGTCCACAGGAGACAAGGCACGTGAACAGAAGGAAGGAAGAAAGAAAGGAAGAAGATGCATTAAAACACCTCTGGGGACTTCACATGTACAGAAGGAAGGAAGAAAGAAAGAAGATGCATTAAAACACCTCTGGGGACTAACACACATGAGCATTTGCTGTCTCAAAGGTTTATGGAGACACAAATTTAGAGGAAATGGAAGATTATGGAATAATATATAAACACAAAACAATCCTGAACACAAGGTAGAAAGGCACAGAAAGTTTTTGGTTTTGCAAAACACACACAAAATTCCCTATGTGTTTTCTGCAGCAAAAACCTGAACTGCACCAAGAACAATATTTATAGTAGTTCTTGCTGACAGCACACTCAGAACATGACCTCTGGATCCACACATACTGACTCAACAAAGAAAGTCTTCAGTCCACAGGAGACAAGGCCATGGACAGGAAAATAAAAAGTGTTCCATTAATAGAAGCTAATTTTTTTGCTATTGGAAGTTGTTGTAATGTACTTCTAAAAATACCAAGATGCTTCAAAAATTCTGAGTTACTTCAAACCTCGACTTAAAGCAGTTAAAGCAAAACTTTCCTGTACTCACCACAATGTTTGCAGCAATGACCTCTGGATCCACACATACTGACTCAACAAAGAAAGTCTTCAGTCCACAGGAGACAAGGCACGTGAACAGAAGGAAGGAAGAAAGAAAGGAAGAAGATGCATTAAAACACCTCTGGGGACTAACACACATGAGCATTTGCTGTCTCAAAGGTTTATGGAGACGCAAGTTTAGAGGAAATGGAAGATTATGGAATAATATATAAACACAAAACAATCCTGAACACAAGGTAGAAAGGCACAGAAAGTTTTTGGTTTTGCAAAACACACACAAAATTCCCTATGTGTTTTCTGCAGCAAAAACCTGAACTGCACCAAGAACAATATTTATAGTAGTTCTTGCTGACAGCACACTCAGAACTACAGGTCCAGGATAACAGCAGCAAAGCTGCGGCATGAAAGAGGCTAGCTCCAAGCTAACACACATGAGCATTTGCTGTCTCAAAGGTTTATGGAGACACAAATTTAGAGGAAATGGAAGATTATGGAATAATATATAAACACAAAACAATCCTGAACACAAGGTAGAAAGGCACAGAAAGTTTTTGGTTTTGCAAAACACACACAAAATTCCCTATGTGTTTTCTGCAGCAAAAACCTGAACTGCACCAAGAACAATATTTATAGTAGTTCTTGCTGACAGCACACTCAGAACTACAGGTCCAGGATGAGAGCAGTGAAGCTGCGGCATGAAAGAGGCTAGCTCCAAGCAGTGCAAATGTTAAAGATGAGAAAAATGAGGATGGGTTGATTGTAATCACAAACAATGCCTGAGAACACAAAATGCTCTGTTGACTGATTGTCTAGAAGGGATGTGGCTTTTGCTAGTGCACTTAACTTGCAGTACAGACCACGGCAAAAACCACCACTGCCCTGCTTGTCCAGGCATTAGCTCTGAACTCCTGTGCTTCTCACTCACCTTATACCCATTTTCTTCACCAAATTTGTAAATAGTTTCTCTGCGTTCTCGAGTTGTGTTTGTAGCATCAAAGACCTAGGGGTGATGATGAAGAAAAAGAGAGAGAGGGGAATTAAAAAAGCAACATAGTCTGTGAAAAGCACTGTGTTAGTAACAACAGAAATACAGGTTCCAAGTCCCTCAATGTGAAGGAAAGCAATGAAAACACTTCCTCTTCCCTCTACCCCACTACTTCCCCTACCTTTACAACTACATCAACATGCTCAACAGAAAAAGAGATTCCTACTTTACACACACGATTTTCTAAATAATAAGTAATAGTTTGAAAGCACTACTAGCAGAACACTTTATTTGGAAGAAGCAACCAGAATTTAAGCCTAACACGTAATACAGGACAGAATCTTCCTCCTGGCCCACATCAGCATTAAATACTAATGCATAGGTTTTTAGTGAACTCTCACTACACAAAAAATATGCTGCAATCAATATGCTATTCAAAATGCAAGTCTAAAACTTCTAAAGGGCAGAAGATTTGCAAGACTTGTAACCCTGCCCAGGAATGATACAGAAATATGCAGCCATTTTTCTAAGGACTTACATTCAGCTCTGAACACATCTGTGTTTTATCAAAGTATAAACTTTACTTCATGTCCCCAGCAGAACTTATAATTATAGATAATGGTTTGCCTTCACTAGTTAATGAAAATACCATCGAGTTGTGTCAGTATCTTAAAAAAAAAACAACACTATGCACAAAATCTTATTAATGCGAGTAATGGTTTGCCTTTACTAGTTAATGAAAATACCATCAAGTTGTGTCAGTAGTCTTAAAAAAAAAACCAACACTATGCACAAAATCTTATTAATGCGAATATGCAACCTCCATAGTCGAACAGCTGATGTTTTGCACCCCAATATTAAATACTCAGATATGCAATTTACTTTGAGTTTCTCCTTCTGTCTTCAGAGATTTCCCATGTCAGTAACACAACTGCCAAGGAATACCCCAGGATGCTTTTTGTTCAGTAAGTCTTTCCCTTTCAGTGTAAACACTAGACTATCAAACAGAAACAGAAGTGCAACAAAACCAACAGCCGTGTTTAACAGTACGTTATACAATGTGGAGAGAAGGGGGACGTTTTTCTTACTGTTACCCTCCCCTTGGTTGACCCCTCCCATCACAAAGGTGGTTGCTCAGTATGGCATCATCACCCTGAACTGTAGTGCTTCTTTCACTGCAGCAACAAGGCAGGTCTAACACATAACTCCCAAATCAAAAAATAATCTGATATATGGAAGAGATACTGGAATTACTCAAGTTGTATATTACCCAGCAGACACACGTTATTTTGTAGGGAAGCATCTCAAGAATGTGCCAACAAGAAACTTACAGCCACGTGCCCATTTTCTTCACTGAGGTACTGTCGGACGTCATTCAGCGCTGCTAAGGCACACTGTCTTAAAAATGAAAGAGTAAAATTCAACTGCTAGTTAATGTAATTTTATTAATGCACTTCTGTGTTGTGATCAAAGCGCCTTGCAAATGTTAGATAATCTTTCTCGAAATCCATACTTTTTAATCACACACCACCACCACCACCCCCAAACATAAGAAAAACCAACAGAGGTCAAGCAAGCTATACTGAGGAAATGTGGTGACGGCCTTCTGCCTGAAAAAAGACCAGTCCAGTGCTCCTCTGTGCAATGCATACAACTATACATCACCACTGAATAGCCCTCAACTTCACTGAGCAGGATAAACTTTCACTGATCTAAAATAACAGCCCTGAATCATCCCTGCAACTGTATTCTTTTCTCCGTTACCTATTCATAGATATTTGCTTCTTAATTTGATTCTCAAAGAGGGGGGGGAAAATAAACATCAACTTAAGGCTTTTATCTTGTGTCCCTAAGTTAAAGTGGTATAGAAAACTATTTTTCAGTAATCTACTTGTCTTTTGAACTGTCACATAAAAATTGCTTATGTCAAAAAAGTCTATTACCAAGAGAGAGTAAAACAAAGTTAGTACCATGTATTAGGGACAGAAGTGAAAATAACACCCCATTGTGGTCACCAACCCAATATAACTAGTACTGGAGACCCCCCTGAGGATATGAACACCAAAAAAACACCACCCGTTTATACTTTACACTTGTGTTAAATCTAGACAAGAATAAATTCATTTGCAACTTTCGTATTTCCCCAGTGTTAATACCATCTTCAAAGTCAATTACAATTTCTAACACATAAATAATACTGGAGGGAAATATTAACATTGTACACGATTTACTCATTAGTAGAACAAAGCCCCATTTATTTCCAATAAACACTGCCTCTTTGCAATGCCAACATAAAGCCTTGTCCATTCTGACAGCCTTTCTGTGTATTACTACTTTATTTTGACTTCCAGACTGAAAGGCATAACTCTCCTCTTGTATTTACCATATTCTGCATGCACAGCTTTGTCTTTAAAGAAAAATGAAGGCTTTTCAATCCTGACAGTATTTCCACATTAGCATGGTTAATAGATGTCAGGAACTGAGATTCAGCAGTCAAGTCTTTGCTGAATAAATATAACCCCTCTCTACTCACTGCTAACCAGGCAGATTAGCTCACACAGCCCATTTTGTGTTATACTCCCCACCACTTAGTCTAATTGGTGACACAGAGGCACGTTAAAAGGTTTGGCTCTGCCTCTAAGCAAAATGTAGGTGCTTCCCAGGCTAATGCAGCTCCTATCTCCTCTTTGGTCCCAAAGCATTAGGAGGTTCTTATGGAAGTTGCTCTCCTTTGACATTAGCAAAGGGAAAGGGAAGCAGAGGGACAACGACAAAACAAAGTCCAGCTACAGTGAAGTCCAGACATTTTTGATGCTTGAGCTGAAGCAATTAAGAAGAAAATACTTCCTAAATAGCCTAAACAAATTGCATTTCCATTCCTCTAGAACTTCTGTTCTTTCTCATTTCATACTACATGCTTTTAAATGTTTTCCTCAACATACTAAAAAGGTCAATGAACAGTGAAGAAAATCAAAAGACCTTCCCCGTTTGATCTCGTGTAAGAAAGAAGCAGCTCCCTCTTGCTCTGACCTTCTCTTCATCTACCCTTTCTTCTCAAGGCCTTTCCTCTCCATTAAAGCACAGCCTCTTTCCAGGCACAAGGGGAGTCTCAAGTGCTTCACCTGGGCACGGATGCTCACAATGGTGCTCACCTGGCTTTGCACAGCATGAGCACACCATGGCAATTTTTGAGGCAATGCACTGACTGACCACATGAAGCACCAGTGTAGTGGCCAAAAAGATAATTTCAAGGAGAGAATAATAGTGTTTCAATCCCACTCATTTGAACGGGCAATGACAAATACATTCAAAGTACTCCAGTGAAAAATGCCACTATGCAAACCATAAAGAAAAGCACTTATGTGGGGCTTTTTTCTTATGATCCACAAAAAAAAAAAAAAAGCTCTAAATTGGCATTTTAGGAATTAGCAGAAAGTCTCACAACTATTAGTGAGATTATTATTATCACCTTGCAAAAATGTAAGAAAAATAACAACTATTTCTTAAAACTGCTTTGTTTTGAGTGAAAATACCCTGGGATATCTGCAGGAATAAGAGTAGTCACAGCCTACTGAAAGGTGAAACAGAATCAAGTATTTCTCTTCTCTGTATTTTTGATGCTTGAGATGAAGCAATTAAGAAAAAAATACCCCAGATTTTAAGCAGCCTAAATAAATCACTTTTCCACCTTCTCAAGAATTTCTTTTCCTTGTCATTTCATACTACAGTCTCTTAATGGTCTTCTTGAGCATCCAAAAATGCAACTTAAAGCAGAGTCTAAGAGCAATTTACACAGGGCACCATTTTAATACAATTAGCATAGTGTAGCCAAGCACATTCAAAACTTACTTCCTGATTTTCAAGCCTTCTTCATTGTCAGGCAGGAAGAATTCAAAAGATTTATACTTTTTCACCAAATCTCGACGATACTGACCAACATTAAATTCTGCCAAGAAGAAACCAGTATTAGTGGGAACTCATTTTATTCATGGAAAAAAGCACAAAAGTTATGACAGCTTTGAAACCAAACTACCCACAAGGGTAAAATAATGTAGCACATACGAAGTCAACACACCATGCTACTTCTTGTGTTTCAGGGAGGGTTAGTCGTTTTTAAATACAAAGACAACAACAAACCAGGGAAATGGAAAAAGAACATTTGAGCTGTATGTAGGTGGCTTTAACGGAGTCACTTGGCCATACTGCTGTACCTTTGGCAGTTTGCCTGAAGTACAAAAAGAAACTCTTCACCTCCTCTACAGGAGTGGCCGGGAGTCTATTTCAGTACTTTACAAAGAACTGCTAATAATCTGGCTTTTTCTTCTGTGTATGCGTGCAGTGAAGCAGTATTCTGATAGCACCTCCCAAAACTTTCCACTCTTATTTAAGCAAGGATGAGTTCTAAATATAACTAACTGATCTTGCTTTTGATAAACAGAACTTCAAGTGATGGAACATTTTTTAGAACTCTGCTCAAATACTTCTATTCCTTGAGGATCAGCACATACTATTTCACAACCCGTTCTTTTATTTTAAAAAATGCTTAAGTTGTAAAAAAAAAAAAGATTAAAGAAAATCAGCATAAGTACAGAACATAATCTTGCTGAGACCTCTTAACAGTGGTCAAAGAAAACTATTCCTTATCTGGGCAAAGGTCCACAAGGTCTATGGCCGTACATGTGTCACAATATCAGATGAGGAGTTAGGGCAAGGCTGTTCTGTTTTGTCACAGAGCAATGACACTGTACTCTAATTAACTTCATTCTACAGCTCTGAAAGGAGGTCTCTGAAGCGCAATTAACTTTTAACTTGTTTCTGACCTATAGGTTTTCTCTGCTAACTGCAAAGCATTTTTTTTTTAACATTAGATCAAGCTGAAGTATTCTGTTTGGGAAGCCACCAAGGTAAAACTACTTGGGCAGACTTCATTTCTGGAAAGAGGAAAAGAAGCAATAACCACAATTGCTGAGTTGTAATTAAAAAGACATTGGATAGAAGAGCTCAACCATCAGCTGCTGTATATAGATTGTTGTTGGGACTGGGGGCAGAGAATAAAGCAATAAATATTGTTTATCCACCCAAAAGTCAAGTTTTATTTGAATTCAGCAATGTTGATGTCATTTTTTTTGTGGTCAGCTGTGTGACACAGATTGTAGTACAATCCAGGTTATTCTGCAACAAATTGAACGAGCACTGGCTGTGCTGGCTACATAAAAAGGTGGTTTCTTGTAAGAAAAACAGAACATGCAAGAAGTTCAGATGGCCAGTGTTGTCAGGCAATAGCTCTTTACAAATCAAAAATAATTCATTTCATAAGAAAGCACAGTTACTGCAAGAGGATCATGCACAGCAAAGAAAGAAGTACTATCTAGTGAGATGATCTTTAGTTCTTATTATTAGCATCCACCCCTGTGGAAAAGTTTCAAAGCTGGCTGGTATCACAACTACCACACAGCCAGAACTATTCAAAAAAGCTTCCCAAAGTTTAGTATCTAAAACCCACATTGCAACACAATTCTATTCAGGCATCTAATTGACCTCATTTCCTTCAAAAAGCCCGGACAAAAGTCCCTTGTATTTTTAACCATTTCACATTCTAAATGGCAGAGGATTTCGAAAGGAATAAAAGAAAACACAGATGTGATAGTTGAAACAATTCAACTAACATCAATCTAGGGCTATTTACCTCCACCTTCTGCTCCTGAACTCTCTGGCTTGCTTAATGTATGTTACATGAAAAGATGGCATTTATCTTTTCTCTGGTTTACATAACCTTGTAATTTTAACCATCTGTCTCATGGAGCAATAACACTTACTACACTAAGCACACACTAATTTTAAGACATTAAGAGCTAAAGGGTAACAACTGTCAGGGCTACTTAATATTTATCATGGACTGATTGAGCCACAATCAATGGGAATCATTACGCAATGTGTCTTCTACTCCCTCAGTCGGTGAGGTATTTTAAATTGATTTCAGCCTTAGTAAAATTGCATCACTGATGACACAAACAACAGGAAAGGTCTGTGGTTTCCAAGAAAATCCCATGTCACACTTTCTAACAAAGACAAACTTCAACCAGCAACCTAGGATGGAAGCTCATAAAGCAACTTTATGTTGTACATAAGCAACTTGACATAAAATCAGGCAGCAACATTGTAATTATTATTAAGCACTGGCACAGATATTTTCTGATGTGCTGCTCACAGTAGCCCATGAACTTTTCCTACAACTGACATCCCCTACTTATTTTACTGTATCGGGGATATATTCAACCAAGCACGAGCCAGATATGGACAGTATCTTGTTTGTTGTCCAATACTGGATTTCTGCATTTCCAAGGCCACCTAGTAAAACATTCAACAAAATGACATATATATCTCTCTACATACACCTATATTGTGCATTTTATCAGCTTGGATATAGGCTAATGTATTTAGATTGCTATTTTGCTTCAATGCAGCGGATAAAACTGAAGTCCCTAAATATCTGATACTGCTCATCAGCAGGGTGATCCTGTGCGAAAACAGCCAAAACTTAGGGGATAATTTAAATCCTGAAAACTCTCAAACAATATAACACATCCTCCATAACATCTCATCTATAAACACCATATTAGACAACTTTATAAGAGCTTAAGAAAACACCAACTCCAAAAGCTAGAATCTAGAATCCAAAGGCAGTTTAAACATAGGCCAGAACTCTTTGATTTCTTAGAGCTACTAGGAAATACATCTCTGAATATCCAGCCAGAAGTCTAGCCTTTAGTATGATCTAACATGTTTAATGTTACCTGAATGATTAACTAGTCATAACTATAAAGCCACTCTTACTGCACCAGACACAGAATCGCACAACACCAAGGCTCTTTCTCTCCTCCGGGGCCAGAGGAGGTGGCAGGGTGAGATTGCTGCTCAAGACCTCCAAAAGACTTAGGTCTTTTTCTTCTGTCACACTGGACCCACAAGACACCGCAGGAGCTGAGGAGTGAAGTAGGACAGACGAGTCCTTGGCATAATCAGAGCCATCAGTTCCCACTCAAAACACGCAAATAAAGTCCTTAAGAGAGCGATAACAAGCGGCTGCTTCAGTTCCTTGGGCTCTTAAATATTCAGACAAAGAGCTGTAACTCATTCCACAAATGCAGTTAAACAAAGAATTACATAGAGAATTACACATTGCACAAAGTTCACAGAGCAAAGAAGATGGAGAAGTCAGAACTTTAACCCAGAAGTGCTGACTGCTCATCGGCTGGTAAACAAGATTCCCTTTCACCCACATAAAGAAAAGGGAAGGAGAAAAAAAAAAAAGAAAAAAGCTGAACAAAGTGTTAAGGAAGAAGAGCACAAAGCTGATTTAGGCACCTGGGAGGACCAGAAGGTAAATGAACAATCACCAGAATTTTATTAGTTACCATCTAAACAGAACAGCGAGCCTGTGTATGCTATTGCTTAAAAATAAGTTGACAACCAGATGGGTTTTAAGTAGTCAAACTGGGCTACAAAATCACTGGGAATTAGGTCTATAAAACACCTAACATCTGCCCTGTCCTTCTGGTGTAAACAAAAGTAAACCCATCACCTTTTGTAGGCACTCCAATCCAGTTTAAATAGCGCGTCAGCTTCTTCGAGATGTAGGTTTTTCCTCTTGCTGGGAGACCCACCATGACAATCAGAGTGGGGCAGTTGGTCATACATACTGAAACAGAAAAACACAAAACCAGGATTCACCCTTAATGTTCCCACAAAGTGGTGGAAAACGACAATCCGTGTGCTCTCCGAGGAAGTGACCATTCAAGCAGCTCATGCACCGTGTCTCACTGTCAGGGTATTTTTTCCAGGAGCAGAGTGGACTTCACCGGGTTTCTTATGGAAGGGCAAGTCAGTGGTAGTGCAACACTGGGCACGTGAGTGTAGACAGGCAGAAGACAAGAAACTTACACAGTTGCATATGTGCTTTAAGACATACAAAAACAATACCAAAAGAAAGGACACCGACATCTTACACCCCTGTGCACCTCAGTTCAGTGCTTGCATTGAAAGGAAACAGCAAGGTCTACACAGTTTTTAGGTAATTTTTGGATCCTTAAGACAACACCTCAACACTGCTCAACATTTTCTTGGTGTTGAGCGGAACAAGCATGGAAGATGCAGCTTAATACATCACGGTATGGCATGGTACTCACTATTTATCATTTCTCCTTTAAATATTTACACAAAAATCTCTCTTGAAACCACTCATTTGACTGTTCTTCAAGGATTACTAGGAATCAAGTACTCTACGCAATCAAGTACGATAATCTGATATACATACAGAAATATGTGGTTAATTAAAAAAGCAAAACCTAACACTGTAGGAAGTTAAAAGAGTTTATACGTATGAACTGAAAACCTTGAGGCATTTCCTTTCAAATGACAAGTTTTTGAACATTTTAATGGCACAAAACTATGGATACCTTGCATGAATCTATCACAGCTACAAGGAACTGCCTAAAAAGAAAGAAGGTATTAAAGTGGCGCAAAAATATCAACGTTCCCCTCCATCCCCTATTTCAAAGGGAATTAATTTCTATACAATCCACATGGGCATCAATTTCCTCAGTGTCTTGACAGAGGAGGAGTCAATTCACTCCAAAAGACTAAATCTCAGTGTTACACTCTAAGGCATAACTAAACTGTTGTACAAAGCACCATGATTGTCCGAGATTCCCAACCCTTGGATTGATAAAAGTCCCATCCCATAAAGTCACTAGGATGAATCCGGCACAGCTACTCCACACGGTAAACCCATCGAAAAAGAACAGATTAGCAAAGACAGATGCACTTTCTTAAATGCTCATTGAAAAGGAAAAAAAACAAACCCCAAATCCATTGAAAAATAGACCACTTCTCATAAGAGACAGAAGACAAAACCATACCCAGTCTCAAACCCATGAACAGTCCATGCAATGACAGTTACAGGGAACTGACCACAAACCAAAACAGATCCATCTAAACATGTTCATGTCTCCGGAAGGACACTGATAAAAGTCCCCAGAGTAAGCTCCTCTCTGCAGATGACTATAAGCAAGAAGGGTAATGTTTTCTCATCCCTCTTCCTCTTTGTCCTAAGTGCGGGCCTATGAACCCCCTCTCCAAGATGAGGAAGGAAGGCTCTGGGGAAACAACCTCTGTGAAGTGAAAAGAGTACAACGCTTACTAAGCTTAACAGATTTGCTTCTGGTTTTAAATAAATAAAATAAAATATTGAGATGAGAGAAATCCCCGAGCCCCAAGGAATTTTAAGAGATGTTCTTCAAAGCCAGTTTGAAAGGTTCTTCACCTGAAATATCTAGCTCGACTTTTAAACAATTTCCCGATATAAGCAGTGAAATAAGAGCCATCAAAGACAAACCAGGGTCTGAACACATCTGCTCTGTACACAGCCTCAGGTCCACCTGTGCTAACGGAAACAGGCTTTTCTACTCATTCTGGACAAAATTTACCAACTAGTATTACACCTAGATCGCCCAATTTTTTATTACTTTTTTTTTTTCTCCTGGGCTGAGCCATGCAAATTCAGCCTTCTCACAGAACATCTACCTTTTGGTAATGTAATGAAAAATCTATACTGGAGCAAAACTCCATTTGGCAAAGGTAAGGGCTAGGAAGCCCCCGTGAAGAAACCTGCAACCCACTTAAATGGTTGCTTCACAGATTACACCGACAATCGCCCTCTAAACTAAATCCTACTGCCTGCGGGGGTTTGCAGCAGATCTCCCTGAGCAGCAAACCTGACCAACACAGCTACAACAACAGCAGAAACCAAGGGAATTATCTGCTGATCCCCATCAAGTCGCAATCCTATTCTGACCAGGTGCCATGCTGGCTCAGAGTGCTTTTCCTCTTTATAAAGGCAGATCCCAGTAAGACAAATGCCCTGCACACCTAAAGTAGGAATATCGCTGATTCCCATCATCTTAAACACTCTGCTTTTCCATAATGCCATAGCCCTGCAAACACTACAGGGTGCTACAGCATATACCCCCCATCAGAGCCCACCTTAACAGGAGGATGCCAGTTCACAATCTACATTTCGGGGCTCTAAAAAATGTTTGATGTTTTGGTTTAGATGGCCAACAGTGGCTGCAATCTAATACCACTTACACAGGTGGCACTTGGTGACAAGCACACCTATGCATTTGGAAGTCAAAGGCACATTTGCTGGCCAAAACAGCTAAAAGGACTAAAACTAAAAGCACACAGAGCAACAATTTTGTTTCTTATGTCAGTGGAGCGTTCTCAACAACACACATAAGACTCAGCACAGCAAACTAAGGGTTTTGTTTTTCTTCCTTACAATCCTATGTCACTAACAAGGATTAATTTTGCTCATGAGTTCAGTAAAAAAGTCAAGATTAAACCAAAATGCAAGGTTCTGCATATGTATCTAATACGCAAAAGTTAAAAATAATTTAAATTTCTTTCACTTTATCTGAACAGCAACTTTTTCAACAAAACATTGCCAGCACTCGCTGCAAGTGGGGAGGAATGTTCATTCCATGACAGTATTTAAAACATCACTGTCTCAAGACCTACACCTTCCTTTGAACAAATGTTAGCGATTTTTACATGAGGATGCGGACTGACAGATAAACCCAAACAAAGCACAAGTTACACATATCTAACTCCTGGAATAAAAGATCCTCTTCAGTTTAATATTTTCCCAGTGGCACAATACTCAATTCCCTTTTTCACAGCACAACATCGTTGACTTTCTATGATAAAGACAATTTGCAGCACAAAAGGTGCAAGTTGCAGAGCCAAGGCAGACCGCAAAGCGCAGCTTTCTCTCAACTCCTTATCACTTCATTGTCTGGTTCACCTCCAGAAATCTCTCTACATGGTCTAGTCTTGAGAAAACAAACTCATTTTTCAATACTGCTTCACATATGTACCTCTTAGGGGTTTCTGACAGCCCCAATCTGTGGCTGTGCTACCAACACTAATTTTTCTAGAGGAACACACGCACTCAGAACAGTAAACCCAAACTCATCGGGTTGTATGCCATCATCTGCTTAAGATGCTCTATGACTTTACTCAGGTTTTTCTTCAATACATGTTATAAATATATGCATGTAAGATTGCAGGCTTATAACAGTGGCATAAAAAATAAATGTTACGTTGTATTGCCTCGTTTACAGGGAACACACAAAAAGCATGCCCAGAAATACCCATCAGTGTAAGAAAACGGCCAAGTGATGAAGCGCATTAAAATCAAATATTGCAACTTAAGCAAAGTCATTATCCAAGTTAAAAATTTCTTATATACTACTGAAGGACACAGCAAGTTGCAGCTCAGAGTAAAATTATGACTGCCTACCCTTCTTAAGTTTAAGACTTATCAGTCGAGGAAAGAAGAAATTACACGGTCATTTCTTGACTCTTAAACTCTATTGTGAAATAATGCAAGATGCAGAAGGTTGTGAAACCAAACTGGGACATTGAACAATCCAGATCAGCTGTGCAGCATTCCATCAGCCCTCAAAACACACATGATCTTGTGAAATCAGAGACAAGAGTTGGTATTTTTCAAGTTCACCTACTACCTAACATATTATCAGTTGCCCCTTCCTTTCAACCAAAATGAGATTTTGGTTTTTCCCTTATCTGTGTTAAATTTTTAACCAACTTTTAAGGCCAGACACTTTCCGTATCAAGCTGCTATGGTTAACCATCTGAAGTTTATGAAGGATTCTTGCTGCTTCTATGGCCTTCAACTCAAGGTCTATTCTCTGGAGCCACTGTACTATTTAGAAGCTCATACACAAATATCTTTAAGCCAACACAACCACCCTCCCAAATAAGAGTGACCCTTATGATGGGTCACACTCTCCTCCGCATCCCACAGGGATGAGTTCCCTATTCTGCTGCTCTTCCTGAAGAGCATCCTGATCCTATACCTGAAGACGTCCATTATCTTCCATCTGCCTCTCCTCTTTTTGTCCAAATCACCAGGTTCTAACATCACCTTGGTACAAGGCGATTCACATGTGTCCTCTAGCCAGCCTCGTGCCACCAGCTGCTCCCAGCAGCTCTGCCACCACTTCCTGGGGGTCACCATCTGCTTCCCATGGCTTTGATGCCAACAGGCGATGGCCCCATCATACATCCTGGTCCTCAGGCCACAGCTGCGTGTTGTCGCTACCTCATTCGCTTTCTCCATCTTCAGTTCCTAGAGTTGGGAGTACAAATACACACAAGCAGCCTGAGCTCAAAGGGCAGAGTTCTTTAGAGCAAAGATAATCTTAGTTTAATTCTTTTTTTTTTTTTGATCCGATATACATTCATACTGCTATGTGAACAGCAAATAAAAATTACTAGAAAGACCAAATTCCAGCAGCTTTAGAAACACATACCCGTTAACTGTAGTAGAGGAAAATATAATGTTTAACCACAGGAAGTTCACGGTTTATCTCTCCCTCTATAAACATCCTCTACCAGGCTCTCAAAACAACTTTCACTATAGCATACTTGGGTATTTATTTTTTTATGTCCTTGTTTGTAGCCTAATGCTTGACGCATATAGATCTTGACGCAATCTGACATATGATGCCAAGAGTAGCTTTATTACAACCTCTTTACAGACAAAACCTTTCACAAAAGACCACAAAAGGTAAGTGGCAGTTATTATTAAAAAAAAAAAAAAAAAAGCATGTTTCTACTGACAACATCTTACTTTGGAAGGTCATTTAGAACAGTTACCTTCCTTTTACTGGTCTCACCAGCTGTAAAAGCTCAGTAGGCTGCATATGGCCACAACTCCTCCTTGAAGACATTGCAACGCAGAGACTAAAAGAACTAGCTCATCAAAGCCCCGTGACAGCTGAACCCTGGCACAGCTAACCAGATTTCTTCTTCTCCAGGCAACTGCAATTGCTACAACTTTCAGAAAAATCACACTAAAACCAGCTAACAAAGGTATGTCCCTTTGAAGATGGATGTGTTGAGTCCTCAACTGGAAGCGTGCATGATTCTGCTCATACACCTTCTCAAAAGATAGAGACTAAAAGTAGTGCTGTGAAAGGTCATCAGCATGAATGAGGACATAAAAAGCCCAACCAAAGGAGACTGAAAGAGTTCGCCTCGCTCACCTAGAAATTCAGAAGACATCTGAACAACTAGCTTCACCGCTTCAACTGGAAAGCTACTCTTGAGGACAAGAAAACCATTTCCAATGGGAGCTTGTATTTTTTGAACAGTAATGTTTAACACAGTGATCTGTAAAAGCAGGGAACTGGTCAACCCAGCACTGCCCCACATGGCCCATGGCTTGAGCAGTCCACCCTGAGCTGCCACAGCAGGGCTACAGCACCCAGGGGTCACGCTGCCTCATCAGAACACGTGATGATACAAAATACATGGAAATCTGAGGATAAAGGACTGTGCAGCCCCCTTGCATGGAAAAAATTAGTGTGTTCTCAGCTCGCTGAAACAAGATGGATGGTTTTATCAAGGAAGAGTGAGTTCTGCTCCTTTCTAGGGTGTTTGTATCACAAATGACTGTAAATATACTATAGTTTGCAAGAGCAAACGTGCAAAAGCAAAAAGATTTTTAAAAGTACTTCCAAGCCTCCTTTTTTCCATTTTTTTTGTTTTTTCCAAAAAGGTTTCTCAATTATGAGGAGTCTTAGGCATCAAAGATTATAGAACCTACAAAAAAAAAAACCAACACAGATACATAGAATAATTTTTTCAAAGTCAGTTTATAAGAGAGACTAAGTAATTCTGTCAGGAAGACTCCAAATGTCACCAGATTACATGTGACCAATGTGAAATTTTGTTCTTGTGGGGTTTTTGATAAAATAGTGTCTGTGTCAAAACTGTAACAAATGTTATTTTGTTTGGAAAAGAAATGCCACGTTAAGGCCAAAATGAAGAATTCCCCTTGGGAGTAGAGTCAGAAAGTGTGAATCAACACCCATCTCAGCATCCATCTCTCCTCTTCACACCTAGTATTTTTCAGATGCTGGGGTAGTTCAGTTCACAAAGGAACACATACCTGCTTCCTAGCAGGAACCAATAAAATTTGGGGCTTTTTTCCAGCAAGGGCTGGACCAAAAGCAAGGCCAGAGCGGAGAGGCTGCAGCCCGTGGCCGCCTGCCACAGCCGCAGAGCCCTCAGCTCTGTCAGCCCTGCCTCTTTGCATGACAAATAAAAACAATTCCACACGACAAAGCCCCTTTTGTCTGCAAAACTGCCGTGTGCTGAACCTCAAGTTATTTAAGTAAGGGGGAAAAGGGAAAAAAAAAAAAAAAAGATTGGCAGAGTTTGTTAATAAACTATGGTTTACAAACGCCACAGCCAAAGTCTTCAGGGGCTGATGACTTGGTTGGCTGCACCTCAAAATAAGGAAAGCCATTAACTCATACAACAGATGGCCTGATACAGCACTGCCCTTAAAAGAAAAAAAAAACAAAAACCAAACAATAAAAATACAGTGACATTTTTAAGCCTCTCTTCAAGAAGAATACACTGAATGTAAACGCTCCTTGGAACCAGAACGTCTAAAAGAGGGAAGAAAAATAAAATAAAATAAAAAAACACAAGGCAACAAAAGCCACTGGAGAAGACACTCTTCCCAGCAAGCTTTGTTGCCTTCCGTCGGGCACAGATTCGGCAGATTTGGGGGTTTTCTGCCTTTCCCGGCGCCCCGGGCCACGCTCGGCGGGGGGCCTCACCCCCAGCCCCACCGGTGGCCCCGGCACATCGCCCCCGGCCCGGGGAACCATCCCACCGGCCGTTCCCAGCAGAGGCGAGGCGAGAGGCGCCTTAAAGCCCCGGTAAAGCGCTTGGAGCTCGGGGCGGAGGGGGGTCGGTAAGGGAGGGGGCGGCGGGGCCCTCCCGCCTTTCCTCACACCTCGACCCCCTCTGAGGCCGAGCCGCCCCGCCGGGGACGGGCTTCGCGGGGCCCGGCTCAACCGAGGGAGGAAGAGGAGCGGCGGCTGACAGCTGCCGGAGCTCCGACAGCGCGGTCCGGGCAGAGACCCCCTTCTCCCTCCCCGCCGCCGCCCCGCTCACCGCCGCGCTGGGCGCTGTGCCCCGCCGGCAGCCCGTTGTCGTAGGGCTCCCACGTCTTCTGCAGCGGGTTCTGCGTGAGCTCCCGCGCCGGCGAGGCCGCCGCCGCCGCCATCCTCGCCCGGCTCCCACTGCAGTGGCAGCGGGGCGGGGCGGGCACCGCCTCTCAGCCCGGCGGGGGCGAGGCCGCGCCGCCCCCTGAGGCGAGGCCGGGCGCGGGAAGCGGCAGCCCCGCCGCCGCCGCCGCCTCTCCCTCTCCCCGGCCCGGTGAGGGCCCTCAGGCCGCAGCGGGCCCTCGGGGTGGAGGGGTTCCCTGCCCCGCAGCAGGAGGAGCGAGGCCGCGGCTCCCTCAGGGAAGAAGGCTCTGTCCCCAGGCCCCGAGGGGGCGGCGGCTTTGAGAGGGTGAGCCCGCGGTCCCGCTGTTTGTTTGTCAAAATGGGGTCTTCACGACAAGGCGAGGCGGGGGTCTGTCACCGGCCCCGGAGGTGTCAGCGGCCCCGGGAAGAGGGGTAGGGAAGCAGGGCTGTGCCCGCTGGTGACAGAACCGAGGGGTCGGGGGGTGGCCGCTGAGGGGCCGCCGCAGGGAAGGCCTCAGAGCCGCCTCAGGAGGGGCCCTTCTTAAAGCCTTAAAAATAGCGTGCCCGGGAGCACGCAACGCCATTCGAGAAGTCACGCCTTGACTGATGTATTTTTCCAATTCCGCTCCATTTTGGCCCGAAGGCTCAATTAATATCGGTGGAGAAAACCACAAATAAACAATAGGTTTCTAACAACTCTAAGCTATCAAAAAAAAAAAAAAAGAAAAAAGCCCCGCCGGCAGCCCGTTGTCGTAGGGCTCCCACGTCTTCTGCAGCGGGTTCTGCGTGAGCTCCCGCGCCGGCGAGGCCGCCGCCGCCGCCATCCTCGCCCGGCTCCCACTGCAGTGGCAGCGGGGCGGGGCGGGCACCGCCTCTCAGCCCGGCGGGGGCGAGGCCGCGCCGCCCCCTGAGGCGAGGCCGGGCGCGGGAAGCGGCAGCCCCGCCGCCGCCGCCGCCTCTCCCTCTCCCCGGCCCGGTGAGGGCCCTCAGGCCGCAGCGGGCCCTCGGGGTGGAGGGGTTCCCTGCCCCGCAGCAGGAGGAGCGAGGCCGCGGCTCCCTCAGGGAAGAAGGCTCTGTCCCCAGGCCCCGAGGGGGCGGCGGCTTTGAGAGGGTGAGCCCGCGGTCCCGCTGTTTGTTTGTCAAAATGGGGTCTTCACGACAAGGCGAGGCGGGGGTCTGTCACCGGCCCCGGAGGTGTCAGCGGCCCCGGGAAGAGGGGTAGGGAAGCAGGGCTGTGCCCGCTGGTGACAGAACCGAGGGGTCGGGGGGTGGCCGCTGAGGGGCCGCCGCAGGGAAGGCCTCAGAGCCGCCTCAGGAGGGGCCCTTCTTAAAGCCTTAAAAATAGCGTGCCCGGGAGCACGCAACGCCATTCGAGAAGTCACGCCTTGACTGATGTATTTTTCCAATTCCGCTCCATTTTGGCCCGAAGGCTCAATTAATATCGGTGGAGAAAACCACAAATAAACAATAGGTTTCTAACAACTCTAAGCTATCAAAAAAAAAAAAAAAGAAAAAAGGCTACTCATAAGTTGGCCGGGGAAGATGACATCCTGCAGCAGGAGCTGTGGTGTGGCCAAACTCGGCATCTGGCTCTCACGTTTCCACGTCGCCTTCCCAACTGGGAGGGGGCCACCTCGTGAAGGGGGCAAAACCAAGTCCTAAAGAAGCTCAATATTTCACTGTTACACACATCTCTGCGTATTTTATGGAAGGTAAATGCCACACACTGAAAGTGTGGTAGCACAGTGCAATATGGATTTTCATTACTATCCCCTCTCAAGTACTGGGACATTATGAGACTGGCCTAAATACAAATGAAGGTCAGTGCATTTTATATATATATTATAGATTAGACTCTCAGCATCCAAGGATCATTTTTATGTTTTCCATTACAAGCTAAACCATAGCTCTCTACACAACAACAGAATAAATCAGTTCTCAGAAACATTTGGCAAGACACTCCGAGGAGAGTTAACACTGTTTTTCCAAAACCATGTTTTGCATGACCTGCCCTTCCCTCTTTTCAAAGTTGATTTCCTTCTCGTCAAGACTAATTACAGTATTCAACTGTCGGCGCCTACACTATACTTTTACCCTAGTATTTTTTTTCCTGATTTTGTTTGGAGTTGATAGCCAAAGCGGGGAAGGGGCAGAGGGGTTATAGCAGTTAGATTACGAGGGTCAGAAAACTAGGAGTCAAGAGGGGGAGTTTTTGAACGCTTACAAGCTTCTTGGTTTCTCCTGTAAGTATGTATTTACTTCCAACAGTTGCCAAAAGAGCAGTGAGCTGGAACAATCTAATCTGTGTTCCAGGTTAATCCCGGAAGCCCGTCCCCTGTGCGCACACCGAACATCGCGACGGATGGCTGACTGCAGGGTCGAGTCTAGGACCTTTCTTCACAGGACCTCCAGGAAAGCCAGGCAAGTCCACAACAGGTGTCATATTAAGAGAAACAAGGGATTAACAGGAATGCCAATTTATAAAATACACTTCTCAGGCTTGTCTTACATAAAGTAGAAAATGTATGAAATCCTTCTAGTCTTTAGAAACTAAATTTGTAACCCCCTTTCTGCAAAGCCACACAGTGCACGAGGACTGAAACAGCCCTCACACGCCTGCCTCGCAGCTGAAAACACTGACCTGATGCTGTTCATACAAGAAAATACCATTTTCCAGAGGTCTGCAGGGTGAATTACCACATTTCTAAGCCTTGTCCCCCAAGCCCGAGGCACACCATCACTGAACTCTCTTCTTACTCAGTCAGATTGAAAAAAGTGGCACCTGCACAGAACTTAAGTAAGGGTTTGTCCAGGTGTTTGTAATGAATGACGTTAGGGGTGTGCATGGACACCTGCTGGCCTTTGTTTTTGTGAGGTAAGGATTTCAGCTTGATCAATGACAAACTTCTGTTATTGTGTTGTTGACCAAACTTATTTAAAGGTTAGTTGAAGGGGTTTTTTTTATAACCTCGGTGCAGCAATGGGCTCTTTGACACAGAGAAAGCAAATACAGAAATACTGTTCCACTCCTGAGGTCTCATTTCAAAACACGGCTTTCAGGGGCACTGCATTCAATTCCTAGAAAAAGACAGAACAAATAAACATCGCTCATGAGATTCCCAATAAATGATAGAGATGGCCACCCCCACAACCACGATGTCCTCAACCACTGTCCTGATGCAAAGGCTTGAGGAGCAGGGCTGGTTCCTCCAGGTGAAGCGCTGGAGACTCGACTCTGTTTGCTACATGGAGAAGCCTTTACTCCTTGGAAGGCTTTTAGGCAAAGCTGCTGCTCTCGGGGCCACGCTGAGCAGAAAGCCTACCTGAAACAGCACCTCTCTGCAGAGGCAAAGTGTCAAGGGGAAAGGCAGCCGTGGAAAAGGAACTGCTGCACAGAAACAGAACGTGCTTCAGCTGAGTGACAGAGTTAGGCTTATTCTTTTCAAACGACTGACTGACAAGACAGGAAGCTCTTATGGTTTAATGCATACAGCAAGGGGTAATTATTTCTGAGTCAGGGAGAAATAAAAGAGACTGAACCAAGGCTTCTGCTTGATCATACAGAAACCCTACTTTGTAAATAAGCTGTATCATATGGTAACCATATAATACAAGTTCCACAATATCTGCAAGTCAGTTTCACGGATCTCGTTTCCCTAGTAAAGACATCACTTTATAGCCTGACAGCCTATAAAACATGCCTAAACCACCCAACATCTCTGCCTCCTGTCTTCCCACTGCCGCTCCAGCAGCACCAGCTCACTACTAGGAATAAGAAAAGAAGACTTTCCGGTCCTCCGGGTGCCCACACCCTCGCCACACGGAGCACAGCAGATACAGCTCAGGGACAGCCAGTTCACAAGACCTTCCTGCAGCGCAGGAGATTCAGCAGATAGCTGTGAGATGACCAAAGGGTGCACATACACAACCAGAGGTCACAACGTGTGGTTTCTGCAAGCAGGACGGCTGCAGAGGAGTCCCCACGCGGTGCCAGGCCCCGAGATCAAGCACCTGAGGTGTTTCATAGAATTGTCTAGGTTGGAAGGGACTTTTTTAAGACTGAGTCCAGCCGTTAACCCAGTGCTGCCAAGTTTGTGTCCCTCAGCATCACATCTATTTTTTTTTCAAACGCCTCCAGGGATGGTGACTCAACCACTCCCCGGGGCAGCCTGTTCCAACGTCTGATAACCCTTTCTGTGAAGAAATTTTTCCTAGTATCCAACCTAAACCTCTCCTGGCACAACTTGAGGCCGTTTCCTCTTGTTCTATTGCCTGTGACTTGGGAGAAGAGATCGACCCTCACCTCGCTACACCCTCCTTTCAGGTAGTTGTGGAGACAGAGAAGGTCTCCCCTCAGTCTCCTTTTCTCCAGGCTGAACAACCCCAGCTCCCTCAGCTGCTCCTTATAAGACTTGTGCTCCAGACCCCTCACCAGCTTTGTTGCCCTTCTCTGGACCCGCTCCAGCACCTCGGTGTCTTTTTTGTTGTGAGGGACCCAAAATTGGACACAGCACTCAAGACGGGGCCTCACCAGCACCGAGTACAGGGGGACGATCACTTCCTTAGTCCTGCTGGCCACACTGTTCCTGGACTCTTTGTCAGGAAGTGTAGTGACAGGACAACTGGAACAGGTTGCCCAGAGAAGCTGTGGCTGCCCCATCCCTGGAGGGGTGCAAGGCCAGGCTGGATGGGGCTTGGAGCAACCTGGTCTGGTGGGAGGTGTCCCTGCCCAGGGCAGGGGGGGTGGAACCCGATGCTCTTTAGGGTCCCTTCCAACTCTAACTGTTCTATAATTCTATGCTGGTGGCCTCCTTGGCCAACATATTGAGCCAGCCGCTTCCCAGCCACTGCTCCCCAGGCCTGTAGCGCTGCACAGGGGTTGTTGTCACCCAAGGGCACTTGGAGCTCACACCACTGCATGTCCATCCAGCTCTGCGCTCACAGCCCTGAACAGACCCTACAATATCCTGACCCTGCTCTCGTAGCAAAGCTCAAAGAAGCTTTTTCTGGGAAGCTTCTATTTGCTTTTTTCGCCCCAGGACAGCAGGAGACCG